CTGAGGGGAGCGGGACGGGGAGGGGGACCGGGCTGAGGGGAGCGGGAACGGGCTGAGGGGAGCAGGCCCGGGCTGAGGGGAGCGGGACCGGGACGGGGGCCGGGCTGAGGGGAGCGGGAACGGGCTGAGGGGAGCAGGCCCGGGCTGAGGGGAGCGGCTCCGGGCCGGGTAAGGCCCCGATCCTGTCCAGGGCCCGTCCCCCCGCGGTGCTCGGCACTGTCCGTGCGCCCGGCCGGACTGGCCCATCCACCGCCCTTCGGGTGCCGGGGCCCGGCCGCTGGCCGCGGTGGGTTGGTGCCCCCCTCCTCTGTCGCGGCATGGGGACCGGTTTCACTGCGCTAAAAGTGAGCAGAATCGGTGTCAAAAAGGCTGTAAATTTGTCCTTGTGCTGCTCCAGCATGGTGGGAAGGGCAAGTGCTCGGCTGGCATTTATTTGAAGAACGAATTAAGATGGTGTATACGCTTGCTGATAGCATGGATGGAAAGGGGAAGATCATTTGCTGTGCTATAGTCAGCTCTGTAACTGGAATTTGATTTTATTTTTTTTAAATTATAACCTAACCCGTAGTGTTTCACAGGCAGTTGCTCAGATGAGACTTAGCGCGTAAACAAAATTTCATGCAATCATTGAGGCAACTGGTATCATCTAGCTACAAATTTTACAAAGCAGAGACACTACAAAGGATCTTAAGGATCTTTCTTATTTCATGTAGGTGTCACATTGCTTGATCAGAAGAACATTTTTTGGGTATCCCCTAACTAAAGCAGGTTCTGGTCTGATCCAGCAGACTAAAGGTAAGAACAGATTTGTTTGGGTTTCTGCCCTGTTTCCAACTTATACCAAGAGGTGACATTTCCTGCAGGAATTTGGCATCTCCTCTCCTGTACAAATCCTATTCCTCATTCTGTTTTTCTCTAGATGTTTGTTTGAGGTTCTGCAGACCACGAAGTTCTACAACAGCTGCTGACGCATCTGGAGAGGACATTGTACTCAAATGGGGCCTTTTCCTGGTCCCTCTGACCACATTCTGTCTCGGCACATGGCAGGTACAAATAAATACTTCATTTTTTCAAGAGATGAGCATTTGAGGTCTGCCAGGTTTTGCCATCTCTGGCTGTTTAATTCAAATCACATACAGGTTAAAGATTTGATGTTATTTTACCTACCTTTCTGTTTTCCAAGTGTCCATTTGCAAGTCTTTAAAGGAAAGATTCTTATTTTTTACACCTGCATTTCAGTATAAATATTTCCTCAAATTAAAGTCAGTAGACTCCATTTCCATATCTCCAATTACCCTGCTTTAGGGTCAGAGGAGAAACTTATGAGAAAGATTTTAAGGCTTGCTGGGGTTATTGCATTGCTCTGTTCTACCACAAGGAATTACTTTTGTGTTTGTGTACTTTCAGGTTCAGCGACGAAAGTGGAAATTAGATTTGATTGCACAACTGGCATCAAGAATTACATCAGAGCCCATCCCTCTGACATTAGAGTACGGAACCTGAGATAGTTTATTGTCTACAGAGCACTGACAGTGTGCTGGGGATATTAGATATGGTCCCTGCACTAATGAGCTTATGCTAAGCTAAACTGCATGAAAATGAAGGAATGCAATGGGAATCAGGACATGCAAGCAAATTAGAGAGATAGACATCCTGTTAAATTTTCTTATTTTTAGTAAAAGAATAAGTGAACACTTCCCTATGGGATACTTTAAATGCATGTAAAAAGGATTAATCTCTGTTCAGGAGAATGTAGTATGTAGTTCATACCATATGTAATCCTCCTGGACAAGGAGGACTTGGTAGCTGGTGTCTGTGATGTCCCACAGGGATTATTCCTGCAACAGGGAGTCTTGGATCAATAGCAGGCCCTGCCCCAGGTGTGGAGCAGTTGTGTTAGATATGAGACAGATTTTTAAGGTCACTTGGCCATATGGCACAACTGTCAAAACAGTTCAGTTGTTCGATTTCATGGTCTGGGATGGGAAAGAAACGCTCCCTGTTGGCTGGATGCACATGCAGCCTATCCACCTGCTGATCAGTGGTGTGTGACATTGAAGTGGCACTGGGTTACAGGTATCATGGCAAAGAACTGTTCTCTGGATACTCACGATCATCTCGATTTGATTCACTGTGATAGTAATAAAATATTAAGCCAGCTGCTTATTCCACGAGGTGTTTTGTCTTCTGTTTCTGTCTGGCAACTGACTGTAGAGTGAACCATTAGGGAAAAGGAGAATCCCACAATAAAATCCCCTAATTTGATTTGCCTGTCGCAGCCATGATTTTGTTTTCATACTGTTCCATGCAGCCCCATGGAATTGAAGGAATTGGAGTACAGACCTGTAAAGGTCCGAGGGCATTTTGATCACTCCAAGGAGCTGTATATTTTGCCACGGTCACTTGTGGACCCTGAGCGAGAAGCCAGAGAAGCCGGGCGACTGACATCCCACCCGGAAAATGGAGCAAACGTCATTACTCCTTTCTACTGCACAGAACTAGGGTAAGTTAATGAAAGTCATGGTTCTTGTGAGAAACTTACTTCTCTTTTGAAAAGCCGAATCACGGTGGTTGGGTTTATATAAATCAGTCCTCCCTTAAAAGGAATCTCTTACAGTCTGTTAGGTCACTGAGGCTTGATTTGAAATTGTATTTAAATTCCCCTATAATGTGCTCTGAGATGACAAAAAAAAGTGGTACCAAACATATGGGTTGCTTCTTCCTTTGGTACTTAGTTCTAGGCAGCAGGAGGAATAAACTTCCTTTCACTCATGAGCCATATTTCTTTATGCAACTCTAGGGTCACAATTTTAGTCAACCGAGGATTTGTGCCCAAAAAGAAAATGAAACCGGAGACCAGGCTGAAGGGACAGGTAAGGGGGATACAGGGAATGTCATGTGTTACTTTTTGCCCTTTGATAACCCAGAGGCACTCCTGACAAACCCAGAAAGGCAGCAGCCATGTTCCGCATCACGGGAGGTTACTTGAAACAGTCATTGTGCTTCTCAAAGGCAGCAAACCTTTTCTTCCCACCTTATTGTTAAGTAAATAATGCTTTTTACAAACGGAGCTGTTCCTGATCTGCTTTTTTCCCTGCTGTGTTACAGTACTACCCCACTGCAGGGCATAACCACTTGATTTATAATCAGACCCCGCAAGAGCCCTATTTTTCTACCAGGACCTGGTATGCCAGAATATGAAATGAACCTTGAAAGATTCCTTTTTTCTCCTCTGCACTTCTCTTCAGATTGAAGGTGAAATTGATCTCACTGGGGTGGTGAGGTTATCAGAAACCCGGAAACCTTTTGTGCCTGAAAATAACATTGAGAAAAACCGCTGGCACTACCGTGACCTGGAGGCTATGGCAAAGGTGACCGGCGCTGAGCCCATCTTTATCGATGCAGATTTCAGTAAGTCACAGAGGAACCCAACCCCATGTCCAATTTACATTGGTCTCCCTCCCCTTACTTTCAAGTAGTTATTTACCCATGGCACTTGGAAAGGTAGAATCATAGAATCATTTAGGTTGGAAAAGACCTTCAAGATCAAGTCCAACAAGGTATTGCATCTTTCTCTTCTCTTTGTGTGCTCTGCTAGGTCTGCTATTTTGAAGGTGATAGGCAGCCAGCACTGGGAAACGGTAGCACGCTCAGAGTGGTGCAGGTTGTGTTTGATGCCTAGAGCACAACCAGCCACTTGCTGTAGGGCCGCCTGCCCCACAGCTCTGGCTTTGCTGGGAACTTGGGAACACTATTGCCGAGGAAGAGGAGCAGGGTATCCACATGACTGACCACCTTCATCCCGTTTCTCACAGCAAGGGCAGCTCTACGCAATGCAGACTAGAGATTTAACTTGTGCACTGTGTTGTACCTACAGGAAGCACAGTCCCAGGGGGGCCCATCGGAGGCCAGACAAGAGTGAGCCTGAGAAACGAGCACATGCAGTACATCATCACCTGGTGAGTTACCCAGCCCGCGTTTGACCTTCCATGTATTTCTTTTGAATGTAAGGCTTTGCCTGGCATTCTTGCTCCTGCACCAGTGAGACTGTATGAGCCCTTAAGCTCCAAAAGCCTAAAGCTTTAACCTAAGTAACATTTGCACAGTGATTTGACAGGTTTTGTGTCTTATTGCACCGCAGCTGACTTAGGGAGATCCCATCCATCTTGAAAAGGTGTAAATGTGGTTTTGTTTTCTTTCATAGGTATGGCTTATGCGCTGCAACTTCATTCTTGTGGTACAGAAAATTTATACAAAAGATACCTCTGTGAAAGGAAGGGCTAGTTTCTTCTCTTCTGTACTACAGACTGCTGTCTTTTTTATAAAAGTCTGCTCTTGACTGATCGGTCCTGAATAACTGAAGCACCCAGAGTTTCAGGGCAACATGTTCAGTAAATATATGCAGCTATGAAGCTGCAAATGGACTTCAGGCAACTGATGCAGACTCTTGAGCTCCTAGCAGTGTGATTCTGGCTGCAGCTTGGAAGCACTGAACTTCAAAATTCTTAAGTGGCTGTTGAGACTATTGCATAGAAATCAGCTTCAACTAGAAATCTCAAGGATACACTTTTCTAGTGTGGCTGATTTCAAGTTTTTAACTTCTCCGCTGCTGTATTTTCCAAAAGATGGCAAGGGATTTTGTGAATCACAGTTCCTTCGTACTAAGCAGTCATTCGTGAAGTCAGGAGTGGTTCACAGCAGTTGCATCGGAATAAATAAAGGGCTGTGTGACTCACATTGTGTGTCTTGCATCTTAACAGGGACAGACCTGAATTAAAGGTTACTGTGGATACTAGAGTCTAGCTGGGTAGGGCAGCCTGTGGCTTGCAAGAGCATGATAAGGGCCAGCAAAAACAAGCAGCGGCCATCTCACCTGGAGCCTTATCAAGCTTGGTAGCTTACAACAACTCCACAAGACGAAGTCAGCAGTCAGGAAAGAACAGAAGGACAAAAAGGTCTAGATTCTTTCCCGACTTCAGCCTGACCATTCTTGCCCTGGAAGAGGTATTACAGACCTCCTCATGGGAGGTCCCCAGCTGGTTAGCCTGGTGAAGTGTTCTAACACCCTATACAACCCATACCATAACTAAGTCTAAGTACTAAGGGAGATGATCTAGAGCCATTCCCAATTGAGAGGTATTTGCATAAGCAAGCTAGGCTTAAAGCCAGAACTAGCCTATCCCATGCAACTTCATGATCACATAGTATGCACAGCTGAGCCACTGTTGATGGGCTATGTGTTCAGAGAGGAATTGTGACATAGGACTAATAGTTAAGGGCAGTTGTTCCAAGTCATCACCTGCTCTATGCAACTGTTTCTGTGTGGCACTATTCAATCATTTGATGAAAGGCAATGCTAATGTGCTACCTGCTGCCTGGAACACTCCCATTAACAGAGACCACTGAAACTTCATCTGGGGGTTTATTCTTTTTATGTACAGAAAACACGGTACCAATCCAGTACATCTTTAGCCCAGCTTAGTAGCCAGTTCTTTAGCCTTTGCTTTTTCAAGCTTAGCAATACGAGCCACTGATTTTGGACCCAAGACGTTACCACCCCAGTGACGACGGATCTGCAAAAAAGTGGGAACAGGTTAGACGCTTCGTACAGTCTCTTACTACATTCAACCAACTAGCTCAATCCCACTCTTTTGTGCACAAGGGGAAAAGCTTCCTCAACTAGGAAGCCCTACACATTTCAAGCAGTGAACTAACATTTCAGGGCAGCACAGAGAATGTACCCCACCCTCAGGTAAAGAATCTGGATACATCATAAGCAAATCTAGGTACACTACACCCAACAGGCTTTAAGCTGTTGTCACTATGTCTGAAATAATCTGCATTTCACTGGGAAGCTTTTGGGGATGTTAACAGTACAAACTGAAAGACAAGGCTAGCAGCACAGAGAATCTTACCTCGTCGTATCTGTCATTGTAGTTGGTCTTAACAGCCTCCACCAGCTTTGCAAGGGCTCCCTTATCCTCCCTGTTGGTGATAGTTTTAGTTCCCTTAGAGCCTCAATTTAACATTTTCCGTAACTCTTATGCCTCAGGATTTAAGAGCTCGTAGTGGCAACATGGTTTTTCAGGTTAAGCGTAAGCGGCATTTGTCAAGGGGTAATCACTCCAAACATCAATGCTTTAGGAACCTGCACTGCTCAGATTAAGGTTAATAGTTCCATCTATGTATTAGAGTAAACACCCATTTTGGTAAGCCAAAGTAATCTCTATCTTCAGGATCCAACAGAGCTCTTAATACAAAAGGACATCTATATTATACATTATAGAGGCAGTATTTTATTTATTCTTACTACTTTAAAACTACACAGACCCAAGTTTGCTATCCATCTGCCCTACAGTCTGTGTTTATGGGCAGTTTGCTTTCTCCACTACAGAGAATCAAGCCAGCACACAGAATACTTACGGGTTAACTTGTGTGAAAGCAACAGAGGTACAGGTTTTCCTGTGGACCAGTCGCCCCAGTCTGGCTTTGCCCTTGATGATGCAGTATGGCACTCCCATCTTGCGGCACAGAGCAGGCAAGAAGACCACCAGCTGAAAAGAAAGGGAGCATGCTGTGTAACTGAGGGAGAACATCTTTTTATTCTTTGAATCAGCCTGGGCTGTGGCAATTGCTCAGTGTTAAAAAGCTCGTTTTGCTCTTCATTGTTGAGTCAGGTGAAGAAATTCATACATCATTGCAAGGGCCAAGCCTCATTGTAATACCAGGACAACTACGAACATGCGCAAGTATTCCAGTTCTGGTAATTTATGCATTCTCTTTTCGTGCAATAGATTTGTCCTAAAATGCATTTTCACCCCAAGCGTAGTTCTGACCTCAGCTTAAGTTACACCGGTAGCCCATAACATCTACCAGCGAGTATGCTTACCTCAATGGGGTCTACATCGTGGGCAATAACTACAAGCTGAGCTTTCTTGTTCTCTACCAGAGTCGTGACACTGTTAATACCTGAAAAACAAGTTATAGGTAAGCTTTGATTCCACTCAGTCTATTTTCAGAGCTTTCATATAAGTCTCATACAACCAGCTCAGATTCCATAGTGCAGCTTCAAAGTTCTGAAAACTTCTCACATCCATTCAGTAGCACAGAGAGGATATTCCACGGACAATTTGCTAAAGCTCAGGGTTAAAAAGCTCGTCTATTTTGCTCTTCACTTTGAGCTCAGGTGAAGAAATTCATACATCATTGCAATAGCTTGTCCAATCCTGTTTGGTTAGAGCAGAGCTCTAACCAAGTACTACACTCCCGTATGTGCAAGCAGCCAAGTCCACGTACAAAGTTACCTGCTCGGAGGACCGGTGGCCGCTTAGTCGGTGCATCTCCCTTTCCTGCAGCTTTCTGCTCAGCACGAGCCAGTAGCCTCTGCTTCTTCTCTTGCTTATTTTCTGGCCTATATTTGTGCGCCAGCTTCAGCAGCTGCGTAGCTAGAAGAGAACATCTACTAGTTAGTTAGTTGCATGACCTAAAAATCTAAGCATTACTTTTTAAAACACTGAAGTGCATCAGCGATCTTGGTGGTTGTCATCAAGTGTATTTAGACAGCAAAAAGTTAGCATCATTTGCACACTGCAAGAGCAGAACTAGCAGAGTGCCTCTAGAGCCCATATTTACCTCTACATGCACCTCTGTTGGCAGTGAGAGCTCCTTCACTGTTTGGATGAGGAAATGCCTGTGGACCCCCACAGCAATTATGGTTAAAGGTGGTGCACTTTCTCCTTTAAAGCAAGCAACATCTACGAGGGAGTTACTCTACATGGGCTGAAAGTTTCTTGAATAGACACTGTCACCTGGAAAAGACTATTTACTCGTTTCACAGAAGACCCTGAAGTCCCTTCTTCCCCCATATCAATGTCAGTCTGCAGGATGCTGGCTTTCCCCCCAACGCCTGCACTCATACAGGTTTCTTAAACTATCTGTTTACACAACCCTACGTGGTTCTACATCAAGCTGGAAAAATGGATTACGATGGAAACAGGCAGTTAAGATAACCCTGGGTTTGGGTTGTTAAGTAGGAGCTTTGGTATTTTCTATTCCCTTTTCAAAGTACACAGCAGCTATCAAGACTTAAGCCAGCAAATTCAGACAGCAGCTTGCTGCTGACATCACCCCAGTCACTACTAAAGCCGCCCTAAAATGCTTCCAAAGATACTCTCCAGCTTACCTTTGTTAAATCTTATTTTGGTTTCTTTCCTCTTCTCTGAGGCATATCCCATCAATGACCCAAGTTAAGAAAACTTTGTGGGGCACATCCTTACCTGTCTGGCGGTCCAAAGCCTGAGTGAACTGGTTAATGGCAGGAGGCACCTTCAAGCGTTTGTAAAGAATGGACCTCTGGCGCTGCAGTCTGATGTAGCGCGGCCATTTCACAAAACGTGTGAGATCACGCTTCGGCTGGATATCCTGTCCTAAAAATAAAAAGTTTAACTCACAGCTGTTCCAAACCCACAGAGCAACAGCATGGAATAGGCACGAGTGCATCAGTGATCTTGGTGGTGATATGTCAGCACTATCACTCAGATAGCAAATATTCTTTCACATCATCTGCACACCGTACAAAAATGGCACTACAGGAGTCTGAATTGATTCACCGCAACATGTGGCAAAGAACAAGATTCATCGCAAGAGACTCAAATAACAAATCTTTGTAATACAGAAAATTCAGCGAGTTGTCCATAGCCACTGTCATATACCTAATGAAGGACAGATCTTAACTGCAGGCAGCAAGGCAACTGCCTCCATCACTGTCTCCACTCTACAGCTTTATTACAATATGCTTCTGTTTACAGTTAAGGCATCTGCCCATAAAGCAAAAAAAATCCTTGAGCAAGTAGCCCAAATATTCACTTACTCACCAATGCCAAAGTTCTTGGGCCTCTTCTCAAAGAGGGGATTGACAACCTTCTTGGCCTCCTGCTTCTTGACTACAGCAGGGGCCGGTGCCACCTTCTTGCCCTTGGCCTTCTTTCCTTTCGGCTGCAAGAAAGAAAGGAATATGCTCTTCCTTCTTTTGCCTCCAATACTGATGTACTTGAAAGAGCTTTCAGTCCACCTTGGAAATGCATTTTCCCAGGCATTTCACCAGCCTGGCAGTCTCCCAGCCTAGCCTTGCTCTTGCAGAGATAAAATCCTTCGCTTTGGCTTTAAAAGGTTTATGAACCTCCCGTTTAAAACCGCCTGTGATCTCCTCGGCCGGGCAGCAATCGCCCAGCCCAGCGCTCCCGGACACCCCCAGCAACCGAGCCACCCCCACCGCGGGTTACCGGCCACCGAGCCCGGCCCGGGATCCACCCTACACCGGGAAAAACGCTGCGGCCTGGCCGGGCTGCCCCGCTCACAGCGGCCCGCGCTGCGCGGCCGCCCCGCTGCGGGCGGGTAGGCCCCGACCCGGCCTCCCCCGGCCCCGGCCCCGACCCCGGTCACCGCAAACCGGGCACGAAACACCCCTCCCGGATACCGAGCACCCGCACGGCTCTCCCCGCCGGGCCGCGGCCCAGCGATGCAGGCGGATGGCGGCGGATGAACCCCAGCCCCCGCCCCGCGCCGGCCGCCACTCACCATCTTGGACTGAGGAAGAGAAAGGGGAAGCGGTGCATGCTGGGAAATATCTATGGGGCGCGACGTCTCGCGAGAGGACGGCGGCGTGGCGCGCGGCGGGGCGCGGCCAGGGGAGGTCCGAGAGGGGCGGAGCGGGGCCGCGGGCCGCCATGGCGCAGCAGCGGGTGCTGCCGCAGAGCAAGGAGACCCTGCTGCAGTCCTACAACAAGCGCCTCAAGGACGACGTCAAGTCCATCATGGATAACTTCACCGAAATCATCAAGACGGCTAAGGTGGGCAGGGGCCGTAGCCGAGCCCCGAGGCGGCCGGGGGAGCAGCCGGGCTCCTGAGGGGAGAGGGGCGGGTTTTCCCCGGGGGGGCGGCTCTGAGGGGAGAGCGGGGCCCCTGAGGGGAGACCGGGCCCCTGAGGGGAGAGCGGCCGCCGCCCTGCAACCGGGGGTGGCCGTGAGGAGAGAGCGGGGCCCCTGAGAGGAGGGCGGGGGGCAGCGGCGGGTCTCTCTCCCGGTTGCCCTGAGGGAAGAGGGTTCTTTCCCCAGGGCGGGCGGCGGTCGGTTCTCCCCGGCTGCTGCTGGCCTCCCTGCCTCTGCCCTGGTGTTGCTGAACGGGGGAGAACGGCGGGGAGGGTAGCAAAGATGATTCGCGGGTGCTGTAGAGTCCAGAGGCCACCCCAAAGATTCCTTGTGTGGATTGAAGTGAAATGAGTTGCCTTATAATGTAGTGATTGCGTATCAGGATTTTAGTATGTAAAGGTGGTTATGTACACGTTTTTCTTTAGATTGAGGATGAAACTCAAGTCTCTCGAGCAACCCAGGGTGAACAAGATAACTATGAGATGCATGTCAGAGCTGCAAACATTGTGAGTAGCATCTGCTGTTCAAATCTGTGGGTAGCATGTCCTGCAGGTACTGTTGGTTTCATTGTTGCATCTTGGGTAGCCCTTATAACTCTTACTAGGTCTGCTGCTAGAAGAGTAACCTGATATTTGGGGTGGCTGTCAGGTGAATCCCTTCTCTAGGGGGAAAGCTGGGGTAGCCTGGCTTGTAAGCTACAGGCTTCTGTCAGAATCCTCACGTAATGTGGGAGTTTCTACTTTATTCAGGGCTTAGGCTGAAAGAGCAGCTTGGGAGATCTTGTTTTAGAATTGGAGCAAAGCACTGTTTTGATATACTGTGTGCTGTGTGATTTTTTTTTTTTTTTTTTTTCCCTGTCCCTGCTATAAGGTCCGAGCTGGTGAGTCCCTGATGAAACTTGTGTCTGACCTGAAGCAGTTCTTGATCCTCAATGATTTCCCCTCTGTGAATGAAGCTATCAACCAGCGCAACCAGCAGCTGAGAAGCTTGCAGGAGGAATGTGACAAGAAGTTGATTGCACTACGAGATGAGATCTCCATTGACCTGTACGAGCTAGAAGAAGAATATTACTCTTCCAGGTACAAATAGGGCAGTGGACTTCTGCCTTATGATACCAGCCCTTTTGGGGTAGTTAGTCCAGACAAACAAGTAGTCCTTAGAGTACAGGTCTTGAGAATGTTCCCAACAACATTTCACTCCTGTTTTTAATTAGGTTAAACTCTTTTTCTGCAACTAAAGCAACTGCCTTTTCCTTGTAGATATCCTACAGGGTATAAATGTCATGGTGAAGGAGGTATTCACAGCGTCCCACTCTAGGTGCCTGCTTTAGTTGGCTAGATTTGACAGATAATTTGCTTAGGCTTCTTCTGTAATCCTTGTAAAAGGAGGTGAATTTCCTTGGGGTATAGGCTTCTGTCTGAGTATTCTTCTGGAGAAGCCTCTGTCTCCTTGGAGAGACTAGCTTGCTGAGCTGGGTCCTCATGTTAGATGAGAGAACCATGTCTTCGTCTTCCTGGTGAGTTCTTTCCCAAGTGACCTGGTTACACAGCGTGCCTTTTCCCTTGTAGTCCACTGCGCCCAGCTGCCTGGAGTGCTGTTGGGGTGAGCATTTGAAATGAGCAAAAAAGTCTTGCTCAGTTTCATTGAATTATGAAGTATTGTGATAGGATTTTTAATGAGGAAGATTATTACTGATCTGTTTGTGGGATTTTTAATGTTTTTAAAAGACTATAAGAAAACAGGCTTTAGAGAATTCAGACACTTTATTTTTTTATTTTCTGTCATGCACTCCAGCACTTCTAGTTGATGATGCAGTAAATGAAAGCAGGAGAAAACAAATGAGAACCTGATTGACTGCACTGTCCAAGCTAAGTGAAGTCAGTGCAATAATGCTATGACTTCTAAACAAAAACTTAACTTTTGAAAACCTTCTTTAGAATTTTAATGACCAGGCTTTCTATTTTTGCCTTTCCCTCCTTTCTAAAAATGCTGAATGCCTATAACCCCAGCTAAGTCAACTAAAACCCTAATTACTCAATATCTTTGTAAGTTAGGACATTATTTATGGGTTAATATATGTATTTTAAGAGTGAAAAGATACTGATATGACATAGCTTAGGAATGGCTATGACATCAGAAGAAAACTTGAGGTAAAAGTCCAGAGTTGTTTTTCAAACTTGACTCATTTTTCTGGGGGGGTGGCAAGGGATCCTAGAAATATCTCAGAAATGAAGAGTGATGGTCGCAAACCCAAGCACCAGTCCAGGCCCTGATAGGTCAGGGGTGCATCCACTACATAGGCTGCATACAGCACAGCAGCGAGCTGTATCCAAAGCGATGCAGTGTGGGATGATAGTGCCTCACGTGTGCCAGACATGCTTCCCTCACACTGTCACCAGACTGCCACTACTGTGTGTTGGTAGCTTTAAGTTCTGGGCTAAGGGGTTCTGACCATGCTGACATGGTCTGTTCACCTGCCTGGCACCAGACACCATGTAGAGCAACCCTTTGCAACAAAACTAACATCTAAGCACAAACGTTGGCATATACCAAATGGATTTGCCTTTGTGCTCTTTCTTAGAAGAGTGGTCATGAGGTGAGGAAACTTTGCAACTCTACAGAGCTATGATCCCTCCACTGAAACCTGTTATCATGTAGCACTTAGTCGTTTGCTTTTAGCACTTACTCCCTTCCTGTGCTCTTTCTTGTCTTTTTCTGCACCAAAGAAATTGTGTGTGTGTAAATATAGAAACAGTGATTTATTCAAAGTCCTTTTATAACTAGAGTACTAAGATATTTTTAATGAAACCTTATTGTCTAATGTGGGGAAAAAGGGGTTCTGTTATGTCACATAGTCGTAGAGTGATAATCTTGTTTAAATGGCTCTAAATGCAATAGCTGGTTTGCCCACAAATGGGCATTCTCTGCTGTCCCGGGAGCCCAGCGGGGTTGCCCCTCCGTACCATCTGTTACTTTCTCATGGGGCTTGATCCCACAGGATTTATAAAGAGGCATGCAGTCCCGTGAGGCCAGGACATGGGTTCCATACAGCCATGCTGCCATACTGCTCTCCTGCGCTCCAGTTTCCCTGAAGGTCACTGGTTAGTTTAGTTTAGGTCTTCCCTCCAGGGAAGGCTGTAGAAAAGAGCACCTCCAGGTGCTGCAGAGCTGAGAGCTGCCTGCCCTGTGCTGTGTAGCTTGTTTGGTCCCTGTGCACTGCTCCTGATGGCTGTGAAAAAAAAACTGTGGAAGGGAGCGTCTCCTGCCCAGCATTTGTCACTGCCATTGTGCTAAGGGGGCTTAGGAGGGAGCCCCTTGCCCACAGCGAGTAACTAATAGGATGCACCTCAGGTGTAGGGTCAGGTTTCATTGCTAGGGTTTTCATGTGTACGTGGGGGTTTTAATGAGGAGACCTGAAAGCAGATCCTTGAAACTAAAGCTGAGTAGATTGTTCTGAAGGAATCTTTGCTTTCAGACCCTGTCTTCAAGTAGTTTCCTAGAGCTGTTCCTCTGCACACAGACCTGGCTGCATGCGCCAAGGGGGAGTAGTAAAGTCCCTCGCACTGAGAAACCCTCAGTCAAAGGACAGAGTAATAGGTTGGGCAGTGCTGTTGTGGGCTGTGCAGTAGCTGCTTATTCACCCTGACTTTTGAGGAGTGTTACGTGAGAGGCGAAGCTTAGACTTTTGGAACTGTTCTAACGGGAGCAGCAGGAGAAGCAGTTGTGCTTCTGACGCAGCTGAACTTTTCTTTGTAACTCCCCTGCCAAGATGCGGTGGATGCTGTGGCCAGATTTTCCTTGGAAACCATGGCCTGAGGTCTAAGACTGACAGAAAAGGACTCATAGTTCTGGTTCAGTCCTGAAGGTCTTTGCTAATTGAACCCAGCTTTGCTGTGTGTGGAGGACAGTAGGGAAGGGTGGTCTTCCAAGGCATTTTACAAAGGCCCCAGATATAAAGCCTGTGTCCACTGCCTTGTCATTTCTACTGCAAAACCAGCTGGGTGATGCTGCCAGAAGAGAGCTCAGAAGTAGATGCTTGCAACTAGTGCTTTGTGTGCTTACTCCCCAAAGCGGTAACTCCAAGTCCAGCTTGCCTTTTCTCATCCTAAACCCCAAACTTGCATTTATGTTCCATTGCTCCCTCCTCTGAGATCACAGGAGCTGTCTTGAGTGTGGGGTTAAATCTCAACATGTTTCATGTTTGTGCAATTTGAAGTGTCTCATATTTCTACACCCAAAATATTTCCCTAAGCATCTATTCAAGTCCATACATTAAAAATGTAAATAAAGCTGCAACAACAAAATCACTTGACCCATTGGGTTTGTTTTACTGTGAACGCAAGCTGCTTTCCGCTCCAGCACTCGCTTTGTCTTGGGTGTCTCATGTGTGTACAGCTCCTTCTTCTCTTTGGAATTTGTTTTTGTTTTGTTCCAGTTTCTTCCATCATTTTTCTTTTTAGTTTTGGCCCTTCCACATTGCGTTTTCCTCAGAGCACAGGCAAGAATTAGCCAGTTGTTTAAAAACATTACTTTCCCACACTGCTGGTTCATCCAGCTCTGTAGTCTACAGCAGTCAAATCCAGCAAGCTGCTTTTAGGAGAACAGCTCAGGTTCTGCTGAAAATGGTAGGAGCCATCAGAACTTTATAATCAGGCTGCGGAGCTTCCACAGAAGACCCAGACCTTCTGTGGAGCACTTTATTGAAAGGGCAAGGGTGCAAATAGGTTTCTTCTTTATTATGACAGGGGCAGGCCCTGAAACAATTGTGCCAGCTTTTCTGCTGAACTTAAATTAGAGCAGGATTTCTATTTTTTATCTCACATAGGTCATGATCTAATTCCAAGTACAATAATAATGAATGGGGTCCTCACCTCACGCAAATCAGTAGCAGAACTCCCATCTTCGGGGTGCTAGGACCTCAGCCCAGATCTTTCCAGGGACTTAGAGCGTCTGATTTAGAATTGAGCCTCTGTTTCAGTTTGTAGCAACAGTTTTGTCTCTGAAATTCGACTGATCCTCACCAGGCCCACAAGGTTCAAGACCAGCTCTTAAGGGTATCTTAGGGAAGGCCAGTGTCACAAGACTTGTGATGAATTTGTGATCACAGACCTTACACCCATGAGTGGGGTTTTTTGCCATTTTCTTAATGCTTTGCTTCTGTCTTGCTTCCCCCACCCTTTCCCTCCCTCCCCTCCTCTCTTACTGCACCTGCTGTCTCTCCTTACTGGGGTTGTTCTGGAAAGCTACAGTCTGTGTGACAGCAATGATCTTCCACTGTGCGAAGCCTACTGGAGACAAGACTTTGCCACGCTGTCCCCCGAAAGCCTCTCCATGCCTCTGACAGCTGCCACAGCAGAGCAGAGCGTTGCTACCTCCCAGAGCTCAACCCCATCGCACCCTCACGTGAACGGGCACGGGGCAGGCCCCACGGAGCACTCCTGAAGAGGATCCTCTGCTGCTGAACGCGGCACTGCGCTGCTGCAAGTCTTCCACCTGCTGTACTGAGCAAGCGTCTCCTGCTGTCAGGAGAAGGCCTGGAGCTGTGTTTGTAGGTTTCTGCTCACTGGATAGCCACAGTGCTTTCTCTGTCCCTGGGACATTGCTATGAGTGTTCGTCTCCCTTAAGAGACCGTGATAAGTAAATACAGAGTTGATTGCTCTGACAAGTTAGTTAGGTTTGCTTTTACATGATAGTTATGTGTAGAGTTCATTAGAAATCCAGTTTGTTTCCATGTGAATCTCAGTAAGTACATGCAGGAGTGTGGGGAGTTGAATTTGTTTGGGATAAACTTGAGCCAAATGTGGGGGCAGCGAGTGTTTTGGGGTTTTTACCCTGCTTCCCAAAGTTACTGACATTCTGGCTGCTTTAAAGCTCTCTCAGGATGGCCTCTGACAACCTCCGTTCTACTTAATTAGGGTAAGAATATTGTTGTATTTTTTTTTAGTCAGCAGTCTTCACTGTCAGAGTGCTTCACAAACTTGAACTTCTTGCTAGCAGCCGTTTGGGAGGAGACTCTCAGGAGACCCTTATCAAAGAGCAGTATTCTCCCTTTCAAAGAGGAAAGGGCACACTGAGGAATCAGACTGAGGTATTGATGATGCCATTTGCTCGAGGCCCCAGAGAGAAGCCATGACATGCTTTAGTCTGATTCTGTCCTCAGCGTTTACACAGAAGCTTTCTATTAACATAGCCTGAGCTAACATGAAGCCAGTGTTTGCATGGGCTAATAGTTTTGTCTAATAAAAAAGTCTGGAGGTGACTGGGCCATATGGAGCTGTGAGGGAATCTCTGTTACTCTCGCAGTTTCCTTCGAGACGCAGTTGGTGCTTTGCCTGCAGCTGTGCAGTAGCGTGGCACTTCTTCGGCCCTTCCCTGTTGCGGTGGTTCTGCGTTGACTGGATGCGGGATGTAGTTGAACTGGAATAGGGTTGTGACAGCTCAGTGTGGTGGGCACCGTGGAGCTGCGGCTGCATTCCAGTAGCTGAGCTGAGCTTCCCTGGCATTCTGCTGCAGCGTCTCACTTCTTAGGATGTGAATTTTGGTCCATGTTTTGACTTCGTTTTCTTCCATTCCATTTATTTTTGTAATTAGGTGGTTTAATAAAACTAACTCTTTTGTATAATTTTTAAGGCGTGTGTTTTCAGCCACGGGGCTTTGTGAAAACAGGACAATGCTGACTGTGCCCAAGCGCTGGGATGCGTCTGTGTGTGTGTGTCCCCGGGTTTTGGAGACACACACACACCCCCCCCCACTGTCGCTGCATGGGGGCTGCAGTCCTGCCGCTGTACGGGGCACCCGCACCCCCACGAACCGATACAGCCCCGTCTCCTCCGACCCAGTCACCGCCGAGTAAGGGCCCGGGGCCTGCAGACGGGAGCCGAACCGGGCCGGGGGGGCTACCTACGGCTGCGCTCGGGGGATGCTGCTGGCGGGCGGCGGGGCGGCCCGAGCACACCCCCACACACACCCCGCCGTCTGTCCGGGACGCCCCGAGGCCCAGCGGCAGAGCCCCGGCGGGGGGAAAGGCCGGCGAGGCGGCTCTCGGGACCGGCTCCCTTCCCGCCTCGCAGCCGTCGCGCTGGCGTCACTTCCCGCCCGGCGCGCTGAGGTCACTTCCTACCGGCGCGGAGCGGCACGAGGAGGATGCCACCGTCCTCCCGGTATCCTGAGGAGAGGACGGGGCGTCTCGGGCCCGGCCGGGGCTCCGCGGCCTGATTGCGCTGAGGGAGCCGGGCCTGGGCCGGGCAGGGCAGCTCCCGCCGAGGGACGGGTCACCCCGGGACGGTAATGGCCAACCTGGCCGCCCAGGACTCCTACCTGCAGGGTTTGGCGAGGAAGGTCTGCCTGCAGGGCGCCCCGGAGTCGCGGAAGAGAAAATTTGGTAACGGAGCTGTCACGCTTCGGCTGCTGTCCCTCCCGGCCCCTTCGTGGGAGTCTGGGCTTGTGACAGGCTTGCCTCCACGGGGGGCTTGGCCCGGGGGAGTGGTGGTGTGCCGGTTTTTAAGGAAAAAAAAACAACAAAACAATCTCTGTTGAAACGCGGGGTTCCCGAGCACGTTGTGTGCGTTGCACTGTTAGCCCCGGGAATCGGTGATCTCCGCTCACTTTTGTATACGTGGTGATCGGATGTGGGAGGACTGGGATTTTACTGAAGTGTGCAAGCACTTGGTCTATTTAAATAAATCCTAAAACACGTAATTTTTTAAGATTGAGATATGCCATTGTAATGCTGGAACTTGAGACTTCAGTAATAACTGAATGGTATGAAGTGGGCATGTAGCGTTGTCCTGTTTTGTGTAATTTGTTTTTGCCTTCTAGTGTCTAAGCCAGGCCAGCCCGAGGATGCTGGCAGACAGCTCAAGAAAAAGAAGAGAAAGAAACCCAGGAAGCAAGCTGAGAAGACAAATGCTCCTTCAGTCAAACAGGTGGTCTCTAACACCAGTAAACCTACTCCAGGGCAGAAAGCAGCCCCTGAAGCCAGCAAATCATCTCCACAGGGTGTTACACAGAGCGGAAATGAGAGTTCAGTTACAGGTAAGAATACCATGAGGTCTGGTTAAAGTTACCTGAGCTGAGGTGGCTGCTTTTCAGTTGCTTCACACATGTCTAGATTGGAAAGCCTTTAAGAAGTTCAGCTGAATTGAAAACATCTTTGCTTATTCCATGTGCCCTAAAAGCTTTTGTGTATGTACATAGATTTGTAACGTCACCGCTGGGTGGCTCTCTGGAAATAGCGTTTAAACTGAATTGCAGATTTTTCATGTATTTGGGTAACTTCTGGGAATTACTGCATGGATGCAGTCTCTGTCATGCCAGGCTGGCTTTCCATTATGAATCTGAAAAGCCTGATCACAAAGAAAAGATGTCCTTGGCATCTTTGTTTCCACTGGCTTGGTACTTGTTTTCTGGCCTGTTAGGCAGCCACAGGGCATGCCAGGCCACTCTGGCTGGCAGTGCTGAATGATAATATGGATAGGAAAGGGGCAATTCTAAAGAAACCAATGAAATAGAAACTCTTGGTTTCTTTAGGTTTTCCATTCTATTCACAGCATCTAAAGAGTTCTTGGAGATTTTCCCATAGCCATAGAAAGTTCTCCTGTTTAGCTAGTGCTGTCTTTGAAGTATTTTTATTTTCTTCCTCTCGTTTTCAGGGAGCAAAAGTGAACTGGGTTCCCCTTCTTTTTTTGCAATGAATCTCTTGCGTCAGAGACTACATGAGAAGATTAAAAAAGCTTCTGGACAAGTATGAGAACTCTTAATATGTATCCATATGTGTGTTGATGCAATATAAATTCTCCCTAGCCTCCCGGGGGATGTGGGGACAAGACTACAATCTTACAAGGCTCAGGGTTTGAGCTAATTCCATCTCCTAAGGAAGTGTCTGTGGGTATTGCTGGGAGACCTGTGTGCATGCTGTGGTCTGGAAAAACATGTGAGAAAAGGTAGGGCCTGGCTTGGAGGAGAACATGCCTCTGGTGATTTTGAGGAAAAAGAAAAGCACTAAGAGGCTGAAAGGGAACTTAGTTAAGAGGTGTTGAGAGAGAGTAAAGGGTTTGAAATGCCTTTACTGTGTTTAGTATCTCTAAAAGCTGAGCCCACAGCTTCTTGTCACAAGTAGTGCATTTTTAGGAGAAGTTTGAAATCAGGAATTTGAGGACATCCCACTTTTAATTCTGCTTTGTCCCTGTCATGGTTTAACTCCAGCCAGCAGTTAAGCACCATGCAGCTGCTCATTCACTTCCCCCCCGCCCAGTAGGATGGGGGAGAGAATTGGGTAAAACTCGTGGGTTGAGATAAGAACAGTTTAATAGAACAGAAAGGAAGAAACTATTAATGATAATAATAATAATAAAATGACAATAATAATAATGAAAGAATTGGAATATACAAAACAAGTGATGCACAATGCAATTGCTCACCACTCACCAACCGATGCCTGGTTAGTTCCCGAGCAGCGATCCAACTCCCCCCAGTTTATATACTGGACATGATGTCAGATGGTATGGAATACCCCTTTGGCCAGTTTGGGTCAGCTGTCCTGGCTGTGTCCCCTCCCAACTTCTTGTGCCCCTCCAGCCTTCTTGCTGGCTGGGCATGAGAAGCTGAAAAATCCTCAACTTGGTATAAACATTACTTAGTAACAACTGAAAATATCAGTGTGTTATCAACCTTCTTCTCATACTGAATCCAAAACCTAGCACTATACCAGCTACTAGAAAGAAAATTAACTCTATCCCAGCCGAAACCAGGATAATCCCTTTAAGGCTCCTGATTCATGTCCATCCTTCTTCTTAGGACGATGCCAAAGAATTGCCTCCTGCAGTCCTGGAGAAGAGGCAGCGAAGGAAGTATGAGAGAGAGAGGAAGAAGCGCCGAAGAAAGGAGTTGAAGATGAAGGCAAAAGTGGAGAAGAAAGAAACTGAGGAGGTACCGGTAGAGCCAGAGAACAAAAAGGAGGAGAGCACAGCTGAGATTGTCTTTAACAGGGTCGAAGTCCATGAAGAGAATGAGTTGAGCAAGATCCAGAAGAAGAAAGAGAAGAGGAAAGCAGTGAAAGGCAAGATCACTCCTCTGACGGGCAAAAACTACAAGCAGCTGCTGAGCAGGCTGGAGACCAGGAAGAATAAGCTGGAGGAACTCAAGGATAAGGACCAGAATAAAGCTCAGGAGCTAGAGAACAAGATGAAATGGACAAATGTTCTCTATAAGGCGGAAGGTGTGAAGATTCGTGACAACGAGGAGCGTCTGAAAGAAGCTCTGAAGCGTAAGGAGAAGCGTAAAGCACAGCGCCAAAGGCAGTGGGAGAAGCGGACAGAAAAAGTGGTGGAAAAGATGCAACAGCGGCAGGAAAAGCGTCGCAAGAACATTCAGAAGAAGAAGAAGGATAGGATAGAGAAGAAGAAAGCCAGGGCCCGGAAGAAAGGCCGGGTTCTGCCAGAGGACTTGAAAAAAGCTGGTTTAAAGTGAGAGCGAGGTGGGGAAGGGAAGTTCTGCTTGCAGGGATCAGTGGTGAGCTGTCACAGAGCAGACCCTCCGTCTGCCTGACCCGGCTGTGCTGCCGCTGCACAGCACCCGAGGAAACCAGCCGGTGGGACGGTTGCCGCCACGACTTCCCAACTGAGTAATAAAAAAAAGCCTGTGGTATGTTTGTTAATTAAATTAAAAGAAACGCCTTCCGATTGGTTGATTATAATAGTTATTTTCCTCAGGGGAGGATGGCGGTTGCTCTTATCTCCTCCGATGCTCTGGACGTGCCTCTCGAAGCCCTGGTACCACGGAGGGACCCCCGGGATCAGCCTCCTGCCGGCGGGGGGCGGGGTCCCGAGGGGGCGGGGCGGGCCTAGGCACTGCCTCCCCCTCGCTGCCGTGGCAACGGGGAGAGCTGCCCCTCCCCACCCCCCACCCCTTTGCGTTGCTATGGCGGCGCGCGACGCGGCCATTTGGGCGGGCGGCGTTCGGGCCGGTCCCGGCTCCCCTGAGGGGACAGGGCGAGCCGCTGGGCCCGCGGCGGGACGGCTCTTCCCCCTTCAGTCCCGTGCCCTCAAAAGCTGGTGAATCGTCACGTAGATATTTTTAAACCCTCCGAATGTTTTGCCCTGCAGCACTGTTAGTAGACAGTGGAAACCGTGCGGCAGGCATGTCGTTTCACCCTTAGGAGGGCCTTTTCAACCCGAAATGTTTGATCCGCCCTCGGCCCTTTAGCTTGTAAATCGCAGTTCTTCTGGAAACAGGCCTGGAAGTCGGCTGTGGTGGGCCGCATGCAGCCAGTGGGAGCTGTGCGCCTCGTCCCCAGCGGGGAAGTCTGCGAACAGATCTTTGAGGCTGAGGTAAAAAAAAAGGTCTGGTAAAAGCCAAATGAGCTAATTATGTTGGTCAGTTGTTTGCTGGCTGTTACAAAGTGGTGACCTCAAACCACAGGTCAGTTTCAACCTTTCTGGTTTTTGTTTGTTTAAGTAGAAAATAATTGCGTTATCTTCAGCATATGCTTTCTAATGCGTCTATGAGTGTTCCTGTGTTTTCATCATGTATTAGGGTATGTTAACTGAAGGCAGAATCGTTATGACAGCAGCAAAAGATAAATTAAGAGGCATAGTAAGCCAGACTCAGGCATTTCTCACTCTGCTGTTGACTTCCCTTGTAACAATAAGCAAGGCACACCATCCAGTTTCCTTCAGTTTCCTCTCTGCAGAAATGGATATCTTTTTTTTCTCATTTTGAAAACAGCCTTGGATGAAAATTGTTATGCATATACCAAGTAGTGTTCATTATTTTACCTTCCTTTTCTGCCCCCTTTCCCCCACTATTTTTATCTATTATTTTGTTGTTATTCTCTGTTCAGTAGGTTGGAAAGAATTCTAACGATTTTGATTATGGTTCTTTGAAGGCTCAGTTAATATGCTCTTTGGATGAAGTAAGGAACAAGACTAGGTTTTCTATAAAGAGTGAAAGGCTCACTTGGGTTAGAGATTCAGAAATTTCTACTGATGCCAGCCTACTACCGTGTTACCAGCAGCAGTGTGTTGAAAGAATGCCCTACAATGACTCCACAGAAAAGCCACCATTGTACAGGTAGAGAACAGAAGCATAAAAACCAATTATATGTTCATGACTATAGGTATGAAGTTGTAAGATTTGCACTGGGAGCTAGACACTCCTGAGTTCTTGGTCACAGCACTAACGACTTGTAATAGACTGTCTCCTTGCCAGATGTAAATTGAGTATGATGAGCTGCTGCCTGTTAAAGTGCAGATTAACAGGCTAATATTTGTAATGGCATGCATATTTTATGGCTTTTCTTTTAAAAAGAAATTATATGTCTTTTTTGTTCAAAGCAGTCTAGTTGTAAGTCAGTCTGATACATATTTTTGAACTATATTTTAAACTATGTTAATGGTTTACATGATGATGCAGTAATGATTATGTAATGAGCAAGAAAAGAAATTAGTGCATCCATCCTTTTCACTTTAACCGTTCTGCTGAATAATGACACCCTTATTCTTACTTCCCCCAAGGAGAAACACAGTGCCCCAGCTGATGGGAAGAGCAGTGGGCAGATAAAGGCTATTTCTACATTTCTTGCTAGTTCTTACTTAACGGTTCATAGATTTTTATACCTTTTAGAGAAAGTATGTATGTCTTTGTAGTTTACACATATTAAATCTAGCATTTATTGCTTTTATGCCATCATAGCAGATCTGAGCCTGTGATCAACATAGGCGAGATAATTACTCACTTCATATCAGAAGCAGCAACATTGATTCTTTGAATCATATTCTTTGGAGTCAGAATGATGCTTATGTTCACTTAAATGTTACATTTTGCCAATTAAATTTAATGTTATACCTGTTGCAAGTCCCTCCTCTTATGTATTTAATACAAATCAAAGCTTTATTCTCTTTCAGAGAAGCTACAACATTTCAAAAGGCTTGGAAAAGTATAGATGTAACTGCAGCAGAGGAAGTCAGAGCCCTACCTGATATTGTTGGTAAAAGTTATTTCCCTTAATGTCAGATATTTTAATTTGTGTTCTTAGGAGCCACCATAAGTATAATGGTTTTAGCTGAACAAGGTATAAAATTGTGGTGGGTTGACCCTGGCTGGGTGCCAGGTGCCCACCAAAACCGCTCTATCACTCCCCCTCCTCAGCTGGACAGGGGGGAGAAAATATAACAAAAGGCTCATGGGCCAAGATAAGGACAGTTTAATAAAGTGAAAGCAAAGAAAAACAAATGATGTTATTGTCTACTTCCCATCAGCAGGCGATGTCTAGCCACTTCCTGGGAAGCAGGGCTTCAGTACGCATAGTGGTTGCTCCGGAAGACAAAAATGCCCCCCCCTTCCATCTCCCTTCACTTAGCTTTTATATCTGAGCTGATGTCATATGGTATGGAATATCTGCTTGGTTAGTTTAGGTCAGCTGTCCTGCTTATGTCCCCTCCCAAGATCTTGCCCAGCCCCAGCCTGCCATTGAGAGGGGCAAAAATGTTGGAGAAACAGCCTTGATGCTGTGCCAGCACTGCTCAGCAGTAGCCAAAACACTGGTGTGTTATCAACACCTTTCTAGCTACTAATGCAGAGCACAAGCACTATGAGGGCTGCTATGGGGAGAATTAACTCCATCTCAGTCAGACCCAATATAAAAATGAAGCTCAGAAATGACCTGACACATTTTTGATGATTTGTAGGTAATTTTGAAGATGAAGAGTCTACTCAGAGAAAAAATGGTTATAAAATTGTTGATCAATCACAGTTTGTGTTTAGATGGTAAATTCCAGTTATGATGTAAGCAGATCTCATTCTTGGAAGTTGCAATTTTTTGCACCATACCTGAACTTAGTTCATGGCTTCCATGCTTTTATCCTGAAAATCACAAATAAATAAAACCAAAGGAAATTTTAAAATATGCTTTACTATTTTTAACCTACATTTGCATAGATTTCCTTTCCTGTTGAAAGCTGTCACACACTGTAATAGCTGCACAAACTACAGAGGTCAGAGTGTGGATTTAGTGATTCATTGTGTATGCATTATGTGTTCTGCAGCAAAAGTTCCAAGCTATGTCATCCTCATTTCTTTCTTGGCAGTTCCTGAGGAAACGAGGAGTAATATCTTGGAATGCCTGTCAGAACACCGACGAGGCCGTCATGATGAAGCGCTAACCTCCATGTATCATGAGCTTGCCTGCATTGCTAGGGTGAGACTGGATTTTGTAATCTAGATAGTCTAGAGTACTATACTAAGGTCAGGGCCTAATATTCAAAATATCAGACTGACTTCCTTACCTTTTTAGGAGATGGAACCCTTTGTTTTGGAGCCTGGAAAATTACTTCTGGCAAAACTGATGGAATCTGATAGAAAAATTGAACTTCTGTTTAAAAAGATTGAGTTTGACTCTACTCTGGAAGGTTTCTCAGTTGAAGTAAGGCAGCTCATGCCATTGACTCGTCGTCAGTTATTTGTACCTGGTCTGCGTAACATAGCTTCTTATGTCTTGCTTTAGTTTTAAGATATAAATGGGTGGGGGTGAGGGGTGGGTGTACCTTTTTTTTTTTTTTTTTGACATTTACTTTTCAGTGAGATTAAGAGTAAATCCTTCTTGCAGGGTTTGGAAGAACTGTGGAATATCATCCAGCAGGAATCCTTGACCAGAAGGAAGTGGATTAGGGAAATGGATGAATCCCTAAAAAAGGTTGAAAGGAGTCGAGCTGATAAAGTGAGCTGTAGTCTTAATAGCTGTTAATTAAGCATAAGATTACTATTTGCTCATAATGCTGGATGCAGAGCAAAGAGTGGCTTGCCTCCACAGGAGTCAGAGGTCTGCCAGGGGTGCTGCTGTGTAGGTGATTACTGTCTTTTCACCGATAGATCAGTCTCTCATTTTATACCCACATAATCAGGAGAAGATACTTCTTTTCCAGTTGCAAGGTGTTTGTTTCTTTCACAGTTATCTGTAGTAAACATGCAGGGAATATGGGAGCTGCTTTTATTTCTCTGCAGGGTTATTTAGGTCAAACTGTCATCAGGTCTAATGCTATTTTGTTGGGACATACCGATTCTGCAGCTGAGAACGTGCACAGATGTGCCCTAGCTAATTTGCGTTTGGGTAGGCACACATGCTACAGTTACATAGGCTTCAGCTTGACCTGTAAAAGTCATTGAACATCACAGTAAATGTTTGGATAAATAAATGGATAGTCCATAAGGAAGTCCTTGCTGCTTTGTCCTGGTAGGCAAACAAAAGCTATCTGTTGTACCTGTGTCAGTCTGTCCTCTCTTTGTAATGTAGACATGATGAACAGGTCCAACAGTATTACCAGTAACTTTTCTGTTTGATTAGTTATGAAAAATTCCAGAGGTGACCACGTTTGCTTAAATTTCGTGTCCACTTAAAACAACCACTGGTAGATTCACTATAGATATTTGAAAGGAAGTTGGTTAGATTTCTAAATTCAGATTGCAGCCCGTCTGCAGACCAGTCAGTTATCACAGATATTAAAGAGAAATCAGTTGAGCAGTAACAAATTAGAATGTTTTAGTTACTATTTTTATGAACGTTTAAAAACGTCAGTATTTAAGATGGGTATTTTGAGATTCACTTCTCAATCCATCTATCAGCCACTTGAATTTATTTTAATGGAAAAAAATTGTCTTGTTCATATCATTGCTTAATTTGGGAAACTGTCATTTGAGTTATACAGATTTTTCTTTTTTTTTGTTCTTTATTCTTTTATTGCACAGATAACAGAGGTACTGAGGAAGTATACAGTGATACTGGAGGAAATTTCCTTCTTCTTGTCAGCTGATGTTTACAGGTTCATGAATGATGAGGCCACGGTAAACCTTTCATACTCAGAGTCTGTTTTACCTGTGAGAAGATAGCAATCTGAATGTTTCCAGAATGTCTTTTTTTCCAACTGAAATTAATGAATTTCTACCTATCAATCACTGCAGTATAGGAGAGTTTACTATTTTGCAGGATATTCTTTGTCATTCGTATTCTTTTTCCCTCATTTTACATAGAAGAGGCAATAGTTTTTTTTTCATGTTATATGCTGCTTTTATTCCTGTTTTTATTTTTTAATACACAGATGATTAACAGAGCACTGTTGGCTAATCAGAGGGCAATTGCCAAGCTGTTCTTTAATCTAATGAAATCAGAGATGAAGACGGAATTATCACATCATTTGAAATGGCAAGATAGAGTCAAGGACTGGAAGTTCATCCAAAAGAACTATGTAGTTCACAGTTTCAGGTCAGAAATTTTACAATGATATTTTGGAGTATGAGTAGCACAAAGTGACTAGTGTTCACTTGTGTTTTCTATAAACAGTAGTACTTTATCATTTTTCCATTATAAGACTAAAAAGCTAAAGGAAGTTTGCATTCTTTTTTTACCTGGGGTGTATAAAACATATTTTGTATCTGTATTTCAAACATGAAATTTTCCCAAACAGATACTTACTTCAATGTATTCTTCAATCTTACAGAGAATTTATGGCAAATGAAGAAATACAGAATCCCGCAACTGTGAAAACAGAAATGGAAAATATGATAATGGATCAGATTTTACTCAGTGAAAGAAGACTGGAGTTTTTGCAGCACCTTGGGTATGACAGAGAACAGGAACAAAGGAAAATAGAATTCTTTCTCAAGTTAATGAGGGACTTGACTACAAAATGCACTTTGCTTCCTTTCAGTGTGCAGTTGAACAATGCAGCAGTAAGGCAGGGCCTAAACGTCTTTTATAAAGCTCTTTTTAATGGAAAAAATGCATTCTTGGTTTTCAACGCACCAGTTACACTAAATAGGGGGTGATCGAGGGCTAGAAATGCAGGAACACAAAAGTAAATCTTACTAACATTTGAAACATAGTAGAAAGGGGCAGACAAGGATGTGGAGATAAGTTAAAAATTGGTGATCTTGTCAAGGCATTATTTCTGTGTGGGAATTTAATTTGTGTAATAAATTATGAAAGGAGTCTTGATAGCAATCTAACACTGCTAAGTTTGAACATCCATCCTGACAACAAGAAGATGGTTTGGGTGCGATGCATTACAATATTTACAGCTTTTCTTTTACAATGTATGTAGCAACAAGATAGATTACAGTTAGTTCCTTGTCAGTAAACAGTGGCCTTGAAAAACAGCAGTCATCTTGTTTTATTTTCATTGCTAATATGGCTGTAAATAAAATAAAGCACAGTAGTATGGTTACTCCGATTCATAATTTTACCCTTTAAGAACTGACTGGATTATATTTTAAGGTATCTGATTCCTGTTTCCTATTTCAACAGTGATTTGTTGCCTCCAACACACACGAACACTGAGGTAAATGAATGGTACAGATCTTTGGTGAATTTAAACAAAAGTATAGGTGAGTTGGGAAATCATTAAAACAGTCTGGAATTCAAGAAATTCTTTCTTTCTTTTTTCCAGGCAGTAATGAGTCAGATGGGTGCTTTGAAAGTATATGTTTGCTATATTCTTTTTTCCATGTGTTTCCATGTATCTTCTAAGCTGCTTGGAGCTAGAAAAACAACCAAAATAAGCTGTCTGTTGCATCACCTCCCTTTTGCCAGCACAAGCATTTTTGCATGGTGAGATCTAGCAGGAACTGACTTGGTTAGAATTAATCTGGGGAAAACAGAAGGTTAATTTTAATGCAGATCAGTTCTCAATCATACCAAAATACTCATTACCTCTTGGAGAATGAGAGGGGAAGTATTTGAGATGCTTCCTTTCTCCGAGTCCTGTAGGGTGCCTTCCCTCAGCGTTTCTACCTTCTCTTTCTCCAGCGCACATCCTGTCTTAATGTTGGTAGCCTGTATAGTAGCAAAGAAGTTGCTAGCAATTGTAAACAACCCACTACTTTTAAGGATAACGATAAAAAGATTTGTATTAAAACATCTTATTTTATTGGCTGATAGTGTCGTACAAGTGTGAAGACACCACTGGGATATATTATCTGTGCTGAGACTCAGCACAGGTCCTCTGTCATTTTTCCATTTCACAGTGCACTGTGAAATACAGAAATCTTTACAATGGTCTGTTCTTCCATATCTTTCAGATACCCACAATGTGCAGTGTATGATGAAGATACGCATCCAGTATGAGATGGTCCAGCAAAAATGTTTGGCAGAAGTGCAGTTATGCAAGGTTAGTATCATAGCTTTGCGAATTCTTGGAAGGATTGTTGGTAACAGTACACAATGTGTTGTTACAGTAATAAAGGTTTGAGGATCCACCAGACATTGAGATAACAAGTGAAATGACTTTTTAACTTCTGTCTTATTCTGTTAGAAAACTTACTGTCCATTCTGTTTCACAGTAGCATGTGGTATTTGTACATCAAATGTGTGAAAAGCAGTAACAAATGCCAGTAATGAAAGTACTGTCTCACACTTAGGTAGAGGACTTGGGGTCAGAACCCTTAGCCTTTGTGCTGAATCTGTCTTATTTTGGGAAAGAAATTCCACCTATCTGCCTCAGTTTCTCACTTTGTGTCCAAATAGAATTGTACTGGTTACTACCAGAATGTGAGATCTTGGAGGTTGAATCATTGTCTACCCATTCACAAGAAAAGAAGAAACACTAAGCTTAGGTATACTCTCTAAAAGCCACACAGTATTTTATGTTCTATTATGTTCATGTCAATAATTTAGCGTTCTTTTCATTTAGAATAACCTGTTGAATCTGAATGTTTGCACAAAAAAAGAGGCTGAAGAACTTGTGAATTCTGAGTTACTTCCGTTGACTGAGAAACTACAAAGTCAGTTTGAAGAAGAACTGGAGCATATGGATGTACGTTTATTACATCTATTTTTATTACTCTGGGAGTAGTCTGCTCTTCCTGCGCTACTGCCTGAAATGCCATATGCATCTTAGGCTATTGATATCACAATCAATAGAGAAAAGAGGTCCATAGTGTGACTGAACACCTGCCCCACAAATAAAAAAAGTTTGGTGTGATTCAAGGAGTACAGTTCATAATTGTTTGGTTTATATTTGTAACGGGTTATCAGGGATGAATTAGGTATAGCTCATCCTGCCTGGACGCAGAGAGATAGATTTCAGTGATCTCCCTGATCTTTTATGTTTCTGTACATAAAAATGCCTGGGCAATTGTTCCTAAAATGACAGACAGGCTTCGGGGCATATGTAGAACATAGTAATTCTGTGCTTTGCAGTACCAGAAGAATAAACGAAAGTTTTGATATCTAAGCTTCTAGAACAAAAATATACATTCTTATCCAGTTTACTTGGACTATTTTTTACTCTCTGAGTAGAAGAGACCATGTTGAATTCTGATAGTGTACTTACAGACAGCCTTTCATCATGTCATATGCCCCCTTACTCATTTATTTCACCTTCCAGCAAACAGTTTAATAATAACCAGTTTACTTAAATGTATTTCTTTAGAGAGACTTCGAGGAGCTGGCTAAACAGAATGAGCAGAATTGTAGAAACTTGTACAGCTATTTTAAAGAGGCAATGGATCTCTGGGATGTCCATCAACTCAAACTGTCCCAGCAGGAAGGTGAACTTCAGAAGAAATTAGATGAATGCAGATGGAAACAGGATAACTCAATACAGGTATAAACATAAAAACAAGGATGTAGTAAGAGGTGAAGAAAGGACTTCTTGATGCAGAGAACCCTCTGGAATTCAAAATAGCTGGTATAAAATTTAAAATGTAATCTTTGACATTTATACTGGAATTTCTACAGGGTAGTTTCATTCTATCAGGTACATTGTTTGCTAACTGCTTGATTCACACTTAATGTACAGTCATATCTTATTTTTGATATGGCAATGGTGATAAAGATTATATTTTATGTATTAAGTGGCTGCAAGTTTCTGTTACTCATAAGATCTTGTGCAGGTATAGAGTCTTGTTTGTATGTCAAGTTTGCATATTATGGCTATAACATGCAACTTGGGGTGGCAATGTCGGAGCTGTTGTTCATTATCTATGAAAGATCTTCACAGTAGAAGAGTTTTGGTGAGGTAGCCTCCCTTCTTGGTGTAGAATTTATGTACATAATTAAATTATTTTAATCCTAAATAATTATGAAGCATTTTAGTAATTATTAAATAATTTTTACTGAGTTCTTTTTATGTGGCCTTAGGTGATGGAAGCTAATCTAGATATAATTTTGGATAAAATGAGAACAGCGAGCTCTGAAGAAAAGCTGAAGGAATATTTGGAGAACACCCTTTCTTCTTTAGATGACATTAGAGCTAGGTATGAATTTTGTAGTGCAAACTTAAAAAGTAAAGCATATCTGAATGTTGGTTGTAGGTCTTGTTTAGTGCTGTAGTGCAAAGGTGTGGAAAAACATGGCTTGCTACTTTATGTAAGAATGTAAAATAAAATAATTTCCATATTGAACAAGGTTAAGGCAAATAATACTCACATTTTAGAAGTAGGATTAAGAAAGACTGGTATCATCTAAAAAATATACCAAATCAGTATTATTATGTACTACACCATGTCACCCATGCCAATGGGATAATTATTTATTCAGAAGGTAAAAGTAGTAGTTCAGATTCTTGAATCGCAGGGATCAGAAGGTAGGTCTGTGCCATCACCTGTGCTCACAGATTTGATCTCTTTCAAAGTCACAATGACTAGAAGTTACTAATAACTTTCAGATAGCCAAAGTATATATGTTGGTAATCTTTCTGTTACATTTCTCATGATCAGGCATTTGCATCTTTAAAAATCACATCAAAATTGGCACATACCACTCTCCTTGCTGAAGATCTTAGCAGCAAGTTTGAGGATTAAATAGCTAGAGAGGAAGCAGTTATATTTTCACACCCAGAAGGTCTTTTCTGTCTGTTAGATTGGAGGCATACTAGAAGAGTGATGTGGACCTGCGCGGCAAATACGCACACGCACACACCTCACACTGTAATTCTGTTTAGAGCTGTTGGTTCAGTACTCTTTATGTTCATTAGGACAATTTAAAAAATTTAAAAAAAAACTTCAAAGGTAATGCATCTTTTTAGGTGAGTGAAAATACAGTGAGAGGTTGCAGAGGTGGAATGTAATCTATCTGAACATTTGAACACGTACATAGATTCCCCATAATTATCTTCATATAGGAGGCAAAGCAAATGTATATGTAAATGAAAACAGGTGTGAACATTGATTTTCCTTGAATCAAGACTCAGCTTGAACCATTAGTTTTCATTTCCAAGTAAAATGAAAATAAACCAGAAAAGCTTCAGTCACAGCTGAGCATGGTACAGAAATAACATGAAAGACAGTATTTTGACCTCTCACTTCTAATATTCCTTCTGTAAGCACAGGTCTTGAATGGTTTCCATCCAAAATGAAAGATCTTAAATAGTTTATTGCAAATATTTCTTCACTTTGTGCATTTATATATTTGTAATGAACTAATCTCTACTAACAAGCCATTGCAGTGATTGTGTTCAGGCTAAACAGATATAGTACAATGTTTAGCCTAAAGGTTTTATGAGATTGGTCAAAAAGTTAGATTTGGATTTAAAGACATTGTAGTCATATTCCAATTTATTTCTGTACATACTTGAGTCTCTTAAACAGTGATCTTAAATTTGACAGGTATGAGACATTCAACCAAGTTCTAATGGATAAAGTAATGGCTTACCCAGAAGCTATTTTGTGGGAATTGCTTTCTTACAGTATATCCATCAGCCAATATTTTAATGTAAAGGAAATCTTCAAACAGGTATAAAGAAAACAAACTTCTTCTGGTTTAAAATCTTACTGGTGTATTAATTTTTCACTTTGGGGAAAATTTACATTAGCTTTAAAATTTAGATCATATAAACTAAAGCATTGTTTTGGCCGTGGGACTGAAGTCCTTTTGGTAGAAATAGAGGGGGGAAACACAAAAGCTTTCTCTGTCCCACACTTTTAACTCTGTCCTTGTTACAAACTGCATTTTAGCAAATTCACTTGCCTTTTCAAAAGAAAACTGTGAGGTAGCAAAATTACATTAATCAATTTGAGTGTTATAGCTTCTTTAGAAGATAAGTGATCCATTCAAGACTATCATATCTTATTGAAATAGATATATTTTGAGAAGGAATACAGATTTCTTATAAGCAAGCAAATCCTTATTTTTAAATTGTGTGGGGTTTGTTGTTGTTGTTTTGCTTTTAGAACTTGCAAGGAAAGACAGACTCCACATTTCAAGATCAAGGTAATACCTCAATGGTACAAACAGGTTTTTTTGCTTGCTTGTTTTTCAATCTGTATTTCTTTGGATTGTGATCAATAAAACTCTGCTTTAACTGGAAAGAACTAGTTAAGGCTTCAGAAGCTGAACATCTGGTGGAGCAGCAAGCTGAGAGCATTGTGCAAGAAAATGAAGGAGAGGAAAAGACGGATGGTTGTCAACAAGAAAATGAAGAAACAAACACAGCTGAGAATGAGAAGATCTTTGCACAGGAAACTGAAGAAACAGAGGAAAAAGAAGATGGGAAGAGTACTCCTCATGAAAGCGAAGAAACTGAACATGCAGAACAGAGGGTAAGCTTTACACAGGTAAGTGAACAAGAGAATAAATTTGAAGGTGAAGGTAGTCTTGCACAAAATAATGAATAATAGGAAATCTTTTTGCTGAGGTAAGTCTAAATGCCTTAAAGTAGATTAGATTTACTTTGTGCACAAAGCATGCAGGAGTCTTTATTGTTTTCATTTCTTTCTGGACTATTAGGGCTTTAGAGCCTTTTTATGTGCAAATGGAGTGTATAAAACAGTTTACAACCATTCCTTTTGTACTGCTTTTACCCTTGTAAAAGCCTTTTGCATAGAATTTTTTATTTAAATCTCTTTCTGTCTTTCGTCATAGTATTCTTAACCCACAGTGAATGAGCTGTATTTGTATCTAAGTATTATTTTTTCAGGTCTTTAGTCACGTGAATTTATTACTGTAACAAAAACCTTTTAAAACATTGATGACTCATTGATATTGAGACTTGCAAGCATATTCCCTGTATGAATGTTGTCCAAATTGAGAACAAGAGCATAATTCTTAATATCCTTAGGACTCTTACATTAGCTTGTGCACTGTTAATTCTATGCTTCTACCTTTAAAGGCAACAGATGATGATTTCCAGTTGTTTCCTAGGCTATGTTCAACAGCGGCAAGGCAGAAAGCTCTGAAATTGCTGTGGAGACCTTTTCCACTTCTAGTGAAAACTCTTACACAGTTCTTGCAGCTGAAAAGGCAGGAAAGACTGACATCCCAGAGACTTATTTTACAAAATATGAAAAAAAAGAACCACTTCCTATGTACCTGAAATATGTACTTATCAAAGAAACCATGTTTGTAGAGCTGAAAAAACGGTTAGTAGAAAACAGTTTATATTCTTTCTTTCCCTTTAGGTAATAGACAAATTTCAGCTGTTTGGAAGAAACATTAGACTAAAGATGCAAAACTTATCAATTATTTTGATGTTATTCCTCTTTTTAAATTGATAAAAATAAGAGAAAAATTTTATATTGCTTTCCATCCATAGCTCTCAAAGTACCACACAAGCATTTACCTCTTATAGAACATTCATATTTTACAGAAAGTTATTTATTGAGAAAACATATTACAGAAAGGCGAGTAATTTGCCCAAATTCCCTGCAGAGCCATGAAGGTAAAATGCCTGGTACTCATTAGTATGCAGCCAGCTCAAAAACTCTACCAGTATTGCGCAAATGGTAATGAAACCATATCTTCCTATGGTCAGAAGTTAAATTCTTAGAATTAATATATTTAATAAATTCTTATTTATTACTTACTGTTCCTCACTGTAATATTTCTTTTTCAATCATAGGATTCGCCTCTGCTTTTTTGAACACTTGGAGAAATGGTTTGCAGAGTCCTTGCCCAACTCCTGTGCCTTTGTAGCTGCCAAGAAAGAGGAGCTGAATTCAGAACTTCAGCTGCGTCTTCACTTGCATCAGCGAAGGCAGGAAAATATAGAGACACATATCTACAATGTTAGAGCTGGTACCAACTGTTTTTTTTCTCCAAGCATTACATGTCTTCATTTAGAGATGATCATAAGTGGACCAAAATGCATTTCAGTGTCAGTTGACTCAGTAGTAGAGGACAATAGGAAGCAGTTGAGTGTCTACTAATTCCTAGTATAATATGTTACTCATATATTTTAAAAAAGATGGTTATTTTCTATAGCTCATACTGGTTTGTGCTATGTTACGTTTGGAAAATAACCAACAGTGCCTTGATCAATGACTTGATTGTGAAAGATGTAGAACATTCAGTTTCTATTGTCAATATTTGTGAATCGTCATTCTCCTTGGAATTATTTAACAAGAGTTTGCAATGTACAAAAAATAATTTTTAAAGTGTTGCAGAAAAGGAGTTGGCAAGTGTTGGGAGAGATTAAATGCCAGGGCTTGGCTTCTGAATACATGAGAGGAAGGATTTAGCTATATGAAATATCACTAAGCTACAGATTGGGCACTAATCAGAATTCTTTTTTTTGTATGAGAAATGTCAGGTTTTTCTGCTGGAAAAAAATTATTTAAGACAGGTTTGTTGGTCTTTAACATATAAACTAAAAATTCTCTTTTGGGAGAACAGGAAAATAATTTTTCAATTCCACTTTTTCCTGCAAAGAGGACAGGTGCCTTTTCTGGCAGTTTTCTTGAGCTTGATCAGCTGGCTCTTGATTTATCCAACTGTCATTCCAGAAGGGAGACCAAAAATGATCCCCCCCCACCCCCAACATAGGGAGAAGTGTATTTTCCATTTAAAAAAAAACCCAAACAACCCTTTACCTTTGCTTTTGTTACAAGACTGAGAACAGAGAGATAGTAAAGATGTCAGCAGTGACCAAAAATAAAGGAAAAAGAGGGCTTAGTGCAAACAAAAGGCATTTGTGATTTGAATGGGTTAGGAGCTGCCAGGGATATATGTCAAACACAGGATAAAACTCAAAGAAACAGAATTGGATGTATTTTATTTTATGTTTTAGCCACTCTGAGATCTGCCTCGATTTATTTTACCACTGTTTCTGATAATAGGTTGGCTGGTGGTTGTGTATAGTCCACAGTACAGAGGGAGTCATGACCATGTTGTAAAACTTCTTTTCTTGTCAGTGGAACTGTTACTTCACAAAGAGCGTCTAGAGTGCCACTGTGCTGGGGTGGTGGAAGCTCTGAAAAACGAGAGAGCTGAATTTCTCAAATTTTGTGATCAGCAAAATAACATCAGCAAAAACTTACATTCGCGAATCCGTGACATAGAATCTGTCTTCCTCAGTGCTCCTATGACTGAGAAGTAAGTGTGCCACAGGTTTTGCTGGCTGCAAACTTTCATAGTGAAATACTCCTGATTGCTGTCTGAGATGTTCCCAGTTTGCATTCTGAATCTATTTTATATGTCATTACTCTTCAGTGAAGACTGCTTCATGAAACTTTAAAAAAATGTAAAGAATTTTTGTTTCCTTTCTCTCTCCCTGAATAAATTAAAGTCAGTACTGAATGGATGACAATTTTCATATATTTTCAAAGTGCTGGCAGTCTTAAAGTAGAAAAGATGTTTCATCTGTTTAGATTTAATCCAGTTTCCTGAACCTGCACAGTAATAGCAATTGACTAATTGGTTTTGAAGGATACTCTTCAATAGCATCAACTGCTTGCTGATATCTTCCAAGTGTTTATCAGAACAATCGCAGTTCAGTGAGTTGCTTTCAGAATAGTAAAACACTCTTGAGTTCTCAGATTTTGTTCATGTCTTTACGGCCAGCAGTGTCTGAATCATAATGTGTGCTCCTCTTTCTATATGTTTTCCCTGTCTTTTATTATTTGCTGTTAGGTTAGTTTCTTTCAGCAACAGTCTGCACTCAGAGCTACATAATCATCTGGAAGTGATCCAGGTTTCCCTGAGGAGTTACCGGAACTATTTGGAGGAAGCTTTAGGAAAATTAAGGGATTCAAATGTGGATTTTCTCAAAGCTTGCAGGTATAGAGATTTCATTGGAGTGTTGTTTATAAATAGTTACCTATTTCTGGGCATCAGCATCTGTTGCACTGGCAGAACACTAAAATTAAAGTTTATTTTGTTATTCATCTAGTTTGCTATTTAAAAAACAGATTTATTTTGTTAAGCCACAATTATTACACTGTTTTCATCACATTTGTGTTGATATCTATGTTTTAGGGCTGCTTAGCTAAAATAGTCTTTGAGAAAAGGAAGACTCATAGCCAACTGCTTTTACTCTGCTGGTTGCTTTCAGATTATTTTTGGAGGGAGGTAACTTTTCTCCTGAGGAGGTAAAGTATTTCAGCAAGCGTCTTCAGGAAGAAAGTAAGCGTATTGACTCTTTTGAAAGTTTAATCAAGAGAGATATGGAGAAAATGGAATCAAGCTATTTGGAGCAGGTGTGCAGAGTTTCATTTTTTCATATTTGATGTGATTTATAATCAGCCTGCTCCCAGATTAGGACTGTAAGACTGTTCTGTGTGGCAATTACATGATGGAAAAATAAGTAGAAATGGTGAGTTCTATGATTTAAGTTTTAAAAAGTGAAAATTAATTAGTTCTGTCTCTTGTTTCTGGCATTCTTAAAGGCTACTGAACTTATCAACCAGTCTGAAACAAAGTTTCGTTATCTCTTTATGAATCGAGTCTTTGTGGAGAAGATCCAACGATTTCTGACAAATCTACAAGTGCAAATCAAATCAGAGGTACAAACAGAAACATCAGAACTTCATTTAAATGAATTATAATCTTTTATCTTTTATACCATTTAAGAGATTTTTGGCTGAATTCAGAGTTGACAAACGTTAACTGACTTTTTATATTCATTCAAAACCTGTTTTCTGTCATTATCAGCTTAAAACTATGTCTTTACTACTGCTGCAGCTATACTGGAACACTACGGTCTTGCAGCATGTTGAGTATGTTCATCTGAATAGACCAGATTGTTGTGTGGTACAGTAAAGGAGAACACTAAGTGTTGCTTTTGTGAATTATTGTTTTCAGCTTCTCCTCTGAGTACCAGTGATTTGTTTTTACCAGTGAGTCTAGTGGCTTCAAAGTGGAGCCTCTGAAAAACCCTTGAATGGGATTTCACTTCACCAATGTTTGCTTCTGCTTTAGGTAGCAAGTTCCAATTTGCAGGCAGTGACATTAAACTCTTATCTAGAGAAGCTCCATCAGAAGATAGATGCTTGTGCTCATCCTACTGCAGAAAAAGAAGTAAGTTCTAATCAGCACAAAATGGTATTTAATTTGACTTGGTATGAGTTTGATTCACTGTGCATGTTTGTATAATGTATAAACTAACATTTTTGAGGTAGACATGTTTATACACATTTGGGAGGTGGGTGGAAAAAGTACTTTACCACAGAATTTTTGCTCAGGAAGGTCCTGTACCTGTTTTCCTGTTTGCCAAACAAAAGCCTCAGCCTCTATACAATCTCATTACTTCCATGTATGTGTGTCGTGCTTTAAGCCCAGCCAGCAACTAAGCACCACACAGCCACTCACTCACTCCCCCCCCCCACACTGGGATGGGGGAGAAAGTTGGGAAGGGAAGTAAAACTCATGGGTTGAGATAAGAACGGTTTAATATAACAGAAAAGAAGAAACTAATAAGGAGAATAACACTAATAAAATGACAACAGTAATGATTAAAGGATTGGAATGTACAAATGATGCGCAGTGCAATTGCTCACCACCCGCCGATCAACATCCAGTTAGTCCCCGAGCAGCGATTCTCCTTGTCCCCGCTCTCCCAGTTCCTACACTAGATGGGACGTCACATGGTATGGGATACCCCATTGGCCATTTTGGGTCAGCTGCTCTGGCTGTGTCCTCTGCCAAGTTCTTGTGCCCCCCCAGCTTTCTCGCTGGCTGGGCATGAGGAGTTGAAAAATCCTTGACTTTAGACTAAACCCTACTGAGCAACAACTGAAAACATCAGTGTGTTATCAACATTCTTCTCATACTGAACTCAAAACATAGCACTGCACCAGCTACTAGGAAGACAATTAACTCTATCCCAGCTGAAACCAGGACAATGTGTAAATAAAATGGTGATAGAACAGAGTCAAATGATGTTGTATGCAACAGTCAGCATATTTGAAAAGTCTGAAATAGCTAGTTTGGTAAATACCGTCTGTTTTATCGTATCTTTCAGGCTTTGACTTCTGAAGAGTTGTATGATTTTGCCATAGTAGTGTTGAAAGAACTGAAAAAGAGGAGCCAGTATCTCGACTGCTTGCTAGTAAAAGCTAGTAAAAGCCTGCATGATAGTGTAAGATCGCATTTAAGTTCTCTATATTTTATTTAATATCGAGTGACTTTTTATGTGTATATGTTTTAAAGGTTTTTCAGAATCTGTGCTTTGACTTTTCAAATGAAGAAGGATGCTGCATTATGGCAAGCTGTCCAAGACATTGTAACATTAGGTCAGCTTTTTTAATAGGCTGAGTAAATCAGTCACCACTGAGTTTACTAAATGTTAAAGATGCACAGCATCACAGTAAGTTGCTCAGTTCTTCGCAAAAGTTTATTTTCAAGGTGTAGCACTATTCATAGATACATATTTCAGGGGTTTCTTTCAATAATTAAAAAAAATTTATCAAGTGTACCTGAAGAGATTTTTTTTTTTTTATCAAGTGGCATTTTTTTTTTCCCTTCCTTGTCTGGAAAGTCTGTCTTCATGTTGTAATCTACAGTGGATCACTGTTTTTAGGGTATATACTTAAATTCTGCTTATGATAGTTATGAGAATCTACTCTTAACTATTTTTAAATGTCTCAGAGTTGTATAGCTGTAACAACATTACTACTAGAATTATAAAAACCTTTCTTTCAGCCTGTGAAGGAAAATAGTGCATGTTTGGAAGATCTGCTTTAGTAATCAGTACCTACATGTAATGGTTTCACTAATTGCCTGCTACAGTCAACAGGGTTTCATTTTTCTTCCAATTTCAGGAGGACTTTACCCCTCTTGCAATGGATGTTACGTTACAAGGTCCAATTGCTGTTGCCATTCGAACAGAGTGTCTCAGAGATGAGAATAAAGTGATGGTGATGGGGCTGGATCCTGTCAAATTTCCTTTGTTAAATCCAAGCAGAATGGGAAAGTCTGCAGTTGATGATTTATCAATAAGCGTTATCAAAAATTTACTTGAGTAAGTACTTGTTTGCCTAAAGGTATTTTTCTGTCATTGTCTTTATTTATGTTTTCTTTGCTATATATACCTCTTCTCTTCATGAGGCTCATGATAACACTACAAGGGGCTTCACTACAGTATTCTTAAAATTTATATTCCAGAAGCATATAAAGGTTTTCCTGAATTTCTATTTTGTAGTTTACCTTTGTACATACAGAACTATTGAATTTATTGTTCGTAGTAATACTACTACATACTTTCTGATCAGTCTAGCTTTAAAAATCAGTCTAGCTGAGACTCCTTTCTTTTTACGAGCAAGATTTCTAATAGCCAAATTACCCCATTGTGAGTAATAAGTGACATCTAGTTTATAGCACTATGATAAATTTTAGGTATTAAATTTTTGTCTTCTAGAGCCTCATTTTACTTAAAAGGTGATTAGATGCTACATAGTTGAATGAACATACAAAGTGTGAAATGAACAGTGTGGCAAGTGTGTGATTTGCAAATAAATATTTTAATGCAGTTTTGCTTGTAGAAATTCCAAAATTCCAGATAAACAATTAGTTGGTCCCATGGAAGTACTTACATTTACACTGTCAGTTGTGAAAATAATCCTATCTGTTAAATATTATCTCAGAAATTTAACTGCACTTAGCACATGGTAGGGATAGAGAACTTACATAGTTCTCTATATAATATAGTATATAATATAAAATAGCAGGGTATTCAGTAGCCGCTTAGCTCTTTTTTTGTTTCAGAATTCAGCCGTCCAGAAAATCTTCAGGCCTAAATCAGGAGAGAAATGATCACTCAGATTCATTAGGACCAGGTATGCCAGCATTTCTTTTAATATATTACATTCATCTAAATTGTAGTTCCTAGCATCTCACTGAGCAGGTCTAGCATGTTCCAGGCCAGTTGCTTACATGCTAGCTCTAATAGAGTTGTACATCCCAACTTTTTTCTTGGATAACTTTACTTTGCAATAAGAAGATGATTTTTGGCTCTTAACCAATGAAAACTGCAGAATGAGATAATAATTTTATGAAGAGTACCCATGTTTGTGATAGCAAAAGGGAAAAGGGGTGGAGAAAAGAATTAGAAGAGAAGTCATGAAAATATGTAGGGGATCAGGGATCCTTCTCACAGTGTATTACCATTCACTCAAAGGTGAGTGGAGGGGTAATCCCAACAGCTCCCTACCTAGCGTTCCCATTTCCTCATCTCTCTTCTCCAGAGCTTGACTCCTCCAGTCACTTCCAAAGGTATCATCTCTCTCTTCCACATTCCTAAGTCCCCATCACAGCCAAGACTATGAATATAGCCCATTCATTCTCCTTCTTATTCCCTGCCTTAATGTTGTTTTAAATCTCTTCCCATCTACCATGTCTTTTCTATGACATTCCCATCACTCATGTGCCAATGCACAACCTTTATTGCTGTTGCCACTGCTGGGTTAGTTCAGTTCTGTCTGTCTGAAATTATTGTTCCTGTAGTTGTCCCCTTAATGTTGTAAAGAAACATTATAGAAATGAGAACATAAAGCATATAACCATATAAAAAAGACTTCAGTTGGCATTTATACAATGTTCTTCATCTGTCCTTGTTAAATATAAAGCAATTCTTCCCACATCAAAGAAGAATGCTCACTTAAATGTATCTGATGAAGGTCCTCAGATCTCTGCTACTTACAGCCATGCAGGTCGGACGACCAAGAAGTCAACTTTTAACAAAAAGTTGCCAAAAGGAAGGTAAGACCCTTGAAAGGAGGAATTCCACTTATAATATTCCTATGCAGAAATTTACCTAACCTTTGTCCACTGCCTGTTCTTTGAAAAATTCTTAACACTTATTTGTATTAGCCTTCTTTCCAACTATGCTTATCATTTGGGATCTCTTCCCTGTTTATGTCATCATGATCACCTCTGCATTTTTTTTTTCAGATTTTGGCTGGAAAAACATTCTTCTTTTTCTCTTTCATCTGCTGTTGTTTTGTATTTTGAAGTTGTTGAAATATAGACTAACCCCATTCAAATCAATATGGCTTAATTTTCAGGTCTGGTGTCTACACAGTATGTCTTCTGTTTAGTCCATACATAGATGAAATGAGCTACTGTAACAGTGAAAACAACAGAAAAGTTTTGAAGAGCTGTTGAGGAGAGAATCCTGAGAATTTTTTTCCATCAAAAAGTTATTTTTATATAATACTAGTGTTACAGTTACATTTTTCTAAATTTTTCTTCAGTTTCATATCCATCATATGACTGACTAGCTCAAATAATCAGCCAGAGAAGGAAAATACTTGTAGATAGTTTCAAATTAATGTTTTGCCTCCCTAGGAAACAGAAATACACCAGACCAGTCCTCAGTGACAAGAGATTCCAGATATTTGGAGAGAAACCTCCAGAATCTGAGTAAGTAATGTATATTTGCGGAAATAGAAGTTAATCTGCAAAAAGCCCTACCTATCTATTTATCTATCTATTTATTTATAAACATGAACTACAGAGTTCACCGTTGAATTTTGAGGTATTTAACCTTGATATTTATGGATTAAAGTGTTTACAGAACAGTTCCTTTTTGCAGCATAATAATAGTGAATATAAAAGTAATCCATTTTATTCTGTTTAATGTCTGAAATGGGTGCCCTCATTGGAGTTCCTTTTGTACATTTACAAAAAATGGGCTGGAAAATGTAAAATACCCTGTCTTTCAGTTATTTTCACATCTAAAAAAATCAATAAATTTTATACACTACATTATTGTGCTCAATATTACATTTATATGAATAAACAAGGAACAAACTGTTTTGGAGGTGATTTTTAAATGGTTCCATTCTCCTTCTCTAAGAAAATGATCATATTTTTTCTTGATAGTTGTACTATATAGAATGGAGCTATTTCATATGTGCCATGCAAAACTATTAAAATTAATGTCTAAGATGTTTAAGTGCTTAGGAATTTTGTTCCACATTGTGTTTCAAAATACTTCCAGGAAACAGCTAGACCCACCTTCAAATGTTTTTGGTTTATCTAAAGTGCATGGTAAGCTCATAAGGTAGGTTTTCAGCACAGGAAGTTGGCTAAGATTGCTTTTTTGTTCCAGTGACATGGAGGTGTTCTCCAGTAAGTATTTACAATAGCTCAGAGTCCTTGCTTCTTCTGAAGAGAATCTGTACTAATGGGGGTGAAGATTCTTAGGCTTTCTGAATATTTTTTTGTGTATGCTCTGAAAAATGTATTAAAGTAAACCTGAACAAAATATTTGAAAAACCATAGATATTACCAGTGTGATCATTTTACAGCATGATTGTCTGGTTTTTAAAGTTTTATTTATTTTGTTTGCTTTCAGTACTTTTAAAGGGATTATTATGAATATTCTCTGGACAGGTAATAACAGCTTGCTCTGCCTTGCTGAGGTAAGAAAACCCAGTGTTCTTCAGTCACTTTTGCTTTCATAGGTCTACTCCTGTGTCAGCTAAATAAATTGGTTCTTTACAATGTTTGGATGAACATCCAAAAATTTTCCTTTCTTCACCAGTGCATCTAATTATAAAATAGTATTTGACAGAGTGTATTTTTAATCACAGGTTTCTTTATAAATATTAACTAAGCATTTCAGAATCAGAGGAAGAAAACTGGTCTCAAATAAGAGGGTGGTTGGTAGCCTTGTGTATCCCTGCTACTGTTATATGCCTAGATGTGACTTGTTTGAATGTGTTATCAACAACTTTTCTCTTTTATCTTTACCTCCTGAAGGAGTTCTACCAAAAAGAGAACCCTCAAATCACAATGCTTGAAGATCTGCCAGAGACATTTGAACATTGTGCAGAAGTGCTCAGACAAAATCTATTGTCATACCAAAGGCAGACAGATGATTACTACAATTCCTGTCTTACAGGTAAATTCATTCAGTTAAGACTTTCAATTTCTTGTGTATGTAATTTTTCAGTTATGTGAACTGAAAATTGCAGTGATGGAGAATTATGTAGCTTTCTTAATCCATCACACTCAGTGGGAAAAGTCCAGTTGATTTTACTGGAAATTGGGCCAATATTCTCTTTTAATATAGTATCAGCTACAAAAAGCATGGCAGACGAATTTGACTAAGTTGAAAGACCCGTACAAGGTCCTATTTTTAGCAAGTGTATGTTTTTCAAAGCATTGGACCTAGAAAAAGGAATGGCAGAGACAGAATCTCTGTGAGAGAAAATTCCAGGTTGTTTGACCCTTGCAGTGTCATTCAACACAGGTGAGTAGTTTGGGATTTTTCTTCCTTGCAATGAGTAATTCTGTGTCACATACACACACTGTCTTTTCCAAAAAGAATTTCAGGATCAGTTGAAGTTGTTTGAGAAGGAGCTCCCTTATGTCTCCCAGTTGGCAGTTGATGGTCTTTTAAAAGAACATGAGCAGAAGCTCAGCTATTCCACTGGTCAGATTCGGCACCTCTTCAATAGACAGCTGGAAGACTGGGAGAATGAGAAGGTATGTATCATGGATGTGTTGGAATGCTTCCAGTGTAAGCAATGCTAAATGCATCAAATTATAAAATTTGATTTTTATTAATCTCACTGTTTGCTTAATCACTTACTGTTGAGCTAGCCACAGATTTAGTTTCTGTGTTTGCAGTTAGTCTGTGTAGTTCTACTGGAAGCTTTGTATTTCTAGTAACTCAGTCCCTTCTCTCACTGCTTCCAGCACTGGGATGCCTCTTTATAATCTTATACGGCTCTGCCTGCCATCTTACACTTAGATTGTAAACTCTTTAAGGGCTGTGACATTGTGGTATGGCTATACAGCTCATACTGTATGGGTGCGCTCATTTGTAGGTGCTATGACATACAGATAATGAAATATCATTATACACTATCTTTCAAAAAATAGGTATATTTTGTCCAGTAATACCGGAACTGATAACAGAATCATAATGGAGATCATGCAGAAAATGTTATAGAGTAGTATCTTGAGATTTTGTCCCTTTGAGTGTTATGTTAAATTCAGGAAAAAATACAAATACAGAGATACAAAAAATATCTTGTTTACCACTTGGTAGGAGAGATTCTTATTTGTTGAAAACAAAGACCAAGATGAGATCAGAGGCCCTGTTTTTCAGCAGATAGGCAATTTGGTATACGCTGCACTACAAGGTTTATCTCTAGACAGCCAAGGAATAGACTAAATTTTCTTTGTCTTTCTGAATACTTTTATATAAAATGTGTGGGATTTACTTCTTTCTTATTATGACTCAATTGCATATACTTTACTGAAGACGTTTCTTTCTTATGTATTTACTTAAAGACTGCGCACAAGAATCAATTACATCCCTCCTTGGGACACCCAGACAACTTACTTCAGCTGGACACTTTGTGCCAAGAGGAAATAAAAAGGCAAAAAGACCAAGCTGATGGTATTCGTCTCAATACACAGATGCTGCAGGTAATTGTAAAGCCATTGTTTAATATGAACTTAGATGTTGCATTTGGAAAGGAAAGTACCCTTGGATACATTTTTCCTCCCCATCAAAAGTAAACTGGAAAATATTTTCAGTTTTAGGCAATCCTGTTCATATATCTTTTAAATTTTAAGTTATTTATTATCAGCATTAGATCAAGATATACATAAATGCATATGCACATGTACACATGCATAAATTTATTGTGGGACTAACTGATCTTTTCTATTACTCATAGAACATAATGAGGAAGAGATGACTTAGATCTTAATGGTAGAATTACTGGATGTAAGTCTAAATTGGGAGCAACAGGGACATCCTCTGGTTAATTATATTACTTGCAGCCAACAAATGCCTGGAAGGGTTTGTTTCTTCTGTGTGCATTTTGTTAGTGCAGATAATTGACATTTTTCTACACAAGATTAAGAATGGGAATAAGCAGAATTTTACAGGAGAGGTTCAGGAATCAAAACACTTTTCCCGCTACATCCCCTAGGGTTATTGAAGGTCAGTTCCTCAGCATTAAAACTCTTTGTTTACTTCTCTCAGGCCACTCACTCACTCAAAATTCTACACTGTCTGCAGAGTATATATATTTTTAGTTCCAAAGTAATATCTCCTTCTCCTCTTAGCTCTGCACACACACAGAGAAACACACACACCCTGTTTTAGAATAATACCTGGCCAAAGCACTTCCACGCGAAGTACCCAAATTCCAAAATGGCCTTTCCTTTGGGCAGAAGGATGCATTTACAGATAGCTGGTTTTATCAGGTTTAGGTACTTAACCCAAATAATACAACTACTGGGCACCTATACACAGAACTCTCTAGTTTTTTGTACTTTACTTTAGGTAATCAGGTAGTGATAAGAATACTGCAGAGAGGCACTTCTAGACCCTTTTGTGTGCAACTTAGAGCCTTATGTCTGTTATCTGCAGCTGCTGCAAAATGTCAAGGTTGGATACTTGTGTAGTTCCTTTGGAGCTAAACTAAAAGGAGAGGAGATCAAATTATCAAAGGAATTCCTCTCACTTGTCTCCAATGTCCCAACAGGACTGTGCTGTGGAGTGTGCTCAGAACTTTTTTTCTGCACTAGCTGCCTTGACTGAAAAGCTGCTTCTCGAATTAGATGAAAGTATCACTATTGATGATGTACAAGTAGCAAGTAAGTAAAGAACAGATTGCTTGTTCAGGCCTCCTGCTTCCCTCTCAAAGATTGCAGCAGACTTTCCTAGGAAGAGGAGACTTTTATATGCCATAGTACTTTAAATGGAAAGATTTGTATGCGCAAGCATGCAAAGATATTTCTTGAAAGTGAAGAGCACCTAGCTGCTTATAGTTACTCCAAAACAATGGTGTTGCTGCCATTGTTTTGTTGCTGCTGAGTATATCTTCTATTATCTCCCAGAAATTGAAATACCAAGACAGAAGACATCCACTTTAATCCGTCGTAAACAAGCTGGACTTCCTCTAGAAATCTCTGAAGTTAAACAGTTAATTGAACGTGGGAGCAGGTAATATTTGAAGACACTGAACACTGTAATTTCTCTAAACTGGTATCAGGCACTGTCCTCATAGATTTTTTTTGCTGCACTTGTTGAAACTGCTGAATACTATGCTCATCGTTAACTCATGTCATTTAACTAGTTGTGGGGCAGTTTGGGTGGGTAATGATTTTAAAGAAAGAATAGCAATGGATCCAAATAAAAGTCACTTAACGTATTTTATTGTAAAGCAATAAAATTTCAATATTATTGCTATGCCACTTTGCTAGCCACTATTTATCAATACAACACTTTTAGATCTATGAATATACTGTGTATTTTCACTCAGAAGATATGAATTCTATCTACTGTGCAGAGATCCTGAAGTTTTAAAAGAAAAAGTGGTTATACTAAATCAGGTAGTTTTTAGGGTAAACCTTTTGTGGAGATTAAAAAAAATAATTAATCTTTTGCACTTTAAGTACAAGTAACATGAACTGGTATGATCTGCTCTGTTTTTTAAATTCCTCTCTCATGTGTTTTTTGTTTGTTTGCTTGGTTGGTTTGGTTTTTTAAAGGACTTGGCCAGGAATATCCATGACTACTCTTACAGACAATTCAGACTATATTCTTTGCAGAGAAACTGCATCAGTTACAACAGCTAAGACTACACTGGGCCACGTAGCAGCAGTAGAAGCAAGAGATGCTGTGTATAAGGTTGGTCTGTGGGAGAGAACTGTGAGTGGGGCTGCTACTGTTATGAGATTGGTGTTTTAAGAAGAAAGTTATAGCTATTTATAAGTTTTTAATATACACAGTGTTTTCAGATCTTAAAGCCATATTAACTGTGTGTAGAAATCCCCTCTTGTGTCACTTTCTTTGTGATGTTGTCAAAAGCAGGCAGAGTTGGTTTCTCAGGGAGCCCTCTCATTCAGAAACAAGAGAGAATTGTTTCAGCAGAGAAGCACGAATGGTGTCAGAAACAAGAAATTTCATGCATTTCAGCAGCATCACAATTTGAAAAGTAGCTGCTGCCACAGTGCCATTTCAATACAGCTTGCTTTCCACTCACCTTTCTTTCTAAAGCCTACAGCTCTAGGCTTAGATCATGAAGGCTGATTATTCCATAAAAGTTGAAGGGCTGTAAGATATTTCATACATATCTTACATCCTGAACTGTCACAGATCATTGTTTCCACCATAAAAATGATGACTCTTTCTTCACTAAGTCTGCTAGAAGAATGGACACATTCTAGACAACTCTGAGACTCTGACTTGCACTGATGATAGTTTGTGAAACGGTAGTGTTCAGTAATTAGGAGAATATTCTTACGTTAAATCATTTGGAAGTAAATGGTCTGTGTTTATGCATCTGTCGTGGAAGTAATAGTACTCCCAGTGAACTGAATTAATTTTTTAAAAATGTATATTTTTAATAGGGAAGTGTAAAATACACTGTCAACAATGGCAAATGCCGTCAAAACTATAAATTTGCATGAGTGTTTTATGTATCTAGCCACGTACCTATGCACCTGGTTACAGTACAGTTTTGAAGTGAACACAGGTTGTCAGCAGGGTGTGATACAGTAAATGCATGCCACAGAAATATTTTCTTGAATGTATATTGCATTAAAAAGACAGTATTTTATATTTTGGAGCATGGACTCTTTAATAAAGGTGCCTTGAGGTATTCGTGATAGTCTACAAGCTTCTGTTTAGGTGAAATACCTTTTTAGCAGCTTTGTAATAGTTCAGTTCATACTCACGACTTAGGAAGTTCCAGCAAGAGCCAGAGTGCATTCTGTGTTTGAGATGCATGCTTTCCTCTCTGTTCTCTAGAGAAGGCAGCTCTTTAATCTCAGGAGCTAATGGAAGTGAGATGAAGATATTGCATTTTTAGCAAAATTTAAATATTGCTAATAATTTAGTTTCAGAAGTCTTTAAAAGGAACACAGAAGGAAGACAGTGAATAATTCATTGTTCATATAATTCTATTGTCAAAGGCAGAAAATAAGTGGCCTGTATGCAATCTTCTGGCACAGTGGATCAGGACCTGGATTTAGGCAGTGTAAAATTATATTTCATCACTACCAATTTTGTCCTTTATTGTTGTTGTTGTTCATACAGAAATACAAATGTAGACTTGAGCAGCAGTTTGCCCAGATCAAGGAAGAAAGTACAGCTCAGCTGCTGACAATTCAGCGTTGGGAAGATTGGTGGAAACGATCCATCCAGAAGATTAAGCAACTCTATACATGAGATCAGTCAAATCTTGTTGATATCCTTCTGATCATTGTTGGTGCAAAACTGACAAGTTTGTACTAATATCAGTGATGTTACACATTTAGTCCAACAGAATTTTCTTTTTTTTTATATTTTATTTATGTTGCACTGAGCAAGTGCAATGGTGAAAGGAGCTATTTTTTGCCTCTTGAAATAAAAAATCTGACGAATGTGCTATAAATGAAATGTAGACTCTGTGCAGTGCTTCCTAGTCGGATCTCAGCCAAAGTAAAGTTAACTCATTGCGGTGCTAGCTGTAATATGAGAATCTGAAAAGCTAGAAGCCCAAGTAGTCGATTTGTACTGAATTTCATGTTCAAGACTCAGGCATGATTGAATATGTCTGTGTCATGGCACAGTCTGAGTTTATAATACTCAAAGGCAGCCTGGTTTAATAATGGAGTCCAGCAAGGAAACTTTTTCTTTGGCACAGATGAAGCCCTTCCCAAGAATATCCTCTCTTTCTTCACATTCTGAACAACACTGTACTCACAGCTCGCGACTTCAGCTTTAGAAATCTGAAATACAGGTTTAGAAATCTGAAATAGTTGGTCTGGAAAGAATATTTTCCCCGGAATGGTCTACAAGTGAGGTATTTATCTGCAATCCAGAATGCTTTCCAAGGCAGGGCTGGAAAATAATGTACTGCTTTGTTCTGGGAGGTCAAGCAAGTTCATTTAGGAGTAATATAGCTACTTTCAACCATATAGCTTTTAAAAAACCCTCTGAACAAATTTGAGGCGTAACTATTAAAAATGCTTTAGCTGGTTTTTGTGTTTGTTAGGAGATTCTGTCATTAACTGCAACCACATCTATTTCATTTTTGTTTGCATTCATTGTGAACCTTACAGTTGTAAATCAGATGAGGACAAATATAAATGTCAATGAGATGGGTTTAGATGCAAGGAGATGTTCCGAACTCATCTGGCTCCAGTGTTCTTGCAGATTTGTAACACAGAAACTGAAGCAAAGGGAGAATGCATCAGCTGTGCTCCTAATGATGCAATATTTCAAAATATGTGTATTACTTTTCCTGAGGGATTAGATGTTTACTCTGTAAAGACACATGGAAGTACACTCTGCCTATTACAATAGCTGAAACTGCACTAAAATAACCAGAATGCCAATGTCATTTTTTATTCTGTGTTAATTTTACTATTCAAATTGAGGATAACTTTTATTCTCCTTTCTTCTATCCGTTTATTATCCTCTGTCCTTCCCCATCACCCAATTTCTATGCTATCAGTCTCTGTATGCCAGGGGGATAAGTGCATGAGGATGGTCAGGTGCAGAAGAATCCCCAGGAGACTATCTGCAAAATGGTACTGTCATATGTTTTCATTTATGCTTTGGGGGAAAATTTTGAGAGGATGTTTATGAAATTGGAAAGTGGTATCAAGCTGGGTGGGGCTGCAAGCACCACGGGGAAAAAGAATTCAATGAAGGCTTGATGTTTTAGAAAAACAAAGAGCCTGAAAATGGAGTATAATTCCATAAAGTCAAGTACAAGGCTTTATGTGTCATAGACCTGGCTAGGAGAGGTTCCGTAGAAAACGTGTCGATTACATTTGGCCACAGGCTGAATGTCATCACCAGTGCTGTGTTCTTGCAAAGTAGGCAAGTGTCATATTGGAATGTATGAACTGTCACAGCATTTCAGTTTTGTGGGTTAACCCTGCTTTACTCAATACTGGTGAGGGCTCAGCAGAAGTAGTTGGGGTTTGGCACCAGATTGCATGAGAATAGACTGATTAGAGAGAATTCAAACAGAATTGACAGAAATCACCATGGGTCTTGAAGCTAACAGTCTACAAAGAAAGACTGAAGGAGTTGTGGCAGTTGAGGTCACAGAATAGAAGAGGGAAGGAAACGTCACAGCCTTCAGGTATGTAAAGGGAGTCTCCAGGTGCACGGTCACTGCCATAAAAAGGCACAGACCTAAACTGCAGCAAGTGAAATCCCGGTTGGAAATTAGGAAGCCTTCTGATAGGAAGGGCAGTAAAGCACTGTCATAGGTTGCCTACCCACCCTGTGTCTAGCCAGCTCTCAAAGAATGATTGAAAAGCAACTGTTTGAACTCCCCTTTACACACTTGTCCATTGTGCATGTGCTGGAGGCATCAAGCACAAGCTCAGATACATGGCACTGAAAAATCCTGGCATTGGTCTAGCAGCTCGTATTACAGAATTAGCACAGGAATTAGATAAAACTAGTCAAAGCATAGAGTAACTGCTAGAGAGGAAAGGCTGATTGCAAATCCTTCTACATTTGTGGATCTGCAGCATTTTTAGGCAAGAATCCAGAACTGCTCAGCATGAATCCATGAAGGCTTTAAATGTTGGAAGGTCTTGAGAGATACATATATTTTTAGGTTGGTTTTTTTTTAAAGTGGGATTTTGTGATGCTTCTTGGTGAAAGCTGATTAGATTGGTTGACAGGAGAGTGAGGAAGAAGCACCAGAGAGGATTTCTGTGTGTCATAATAAAGCAAATTAAAGAACTTTTTGCTACCTGTCTTTTTATAACCAAAGAAATTAAAGTGGGAAAATTGCCACTGTCTTTTCAGATCCATTGGCACTGTTGTATGCCTTACCAAGGGCCAGGACAGAAAAGATTTCTGTGATGCTAACTTCAGCCTTCCCAAAAGGAATTGCCCTGTACTGGTTCCTCCCACTAACATCAATGCTACTGACTGTCTATAAATAGGAGTTTGACAAACAGCCTCTTTTTTTTTTTCCCCAGGCTCAAGTCACATGTTAGAATGCGCTTTCGTCTCACTCGAGACTGCATTACAGTCCCTACAGCAGCAGCCTGGAAAGCTTGCTTTGCAGGAGAGCACTTTATGTGGATGCAGAAGATGCCAAGGAGGTGGAAGTGAGCTTGCACACGCACGAGACTTATCTGCAGTACCGTAGTTCTGTATTCACTAAAGGTAATAATGAATGTAGCCTATAATAATTAATGTGCTTGTAACAAGCCCCTTTGGAGGCCACATGCAAAGGCTTTGTGTGTTTGTCACAGGTCCCGTGGTTCACACTGCGGGAACCTTTACTTCCCTGTGAACAGAAAAGGGATTAATTTGAGCTTTTAAGGTAAGACAGCTGACCTAGGGGAAGTTGATTTCTGTGGCTGTTGGAAAGGGAGTAGTTTCTTTGACTTGCAGAGAAATATTGTTACCCAGTATGAATTATTGTTGTCTAATGTTTCTTTGCTTGTATTGGACTTCAGTTTACCTTTTTCCTACATGCATCTTTGGAGGGAGCTGTCTCTGGCAGTTACTCTCCTGTGAAAGATGGAGTTTTATCAGCTGAAGTGATAACTGTATTAGCTCTATGTATCACCTGATATGATTGATTTTGATAAGTTTACTAAATTGCAAAGGGTGTGGGCTTTAGATGAATAAATGGAATCTACAGAAACTAGAATCAAATCAGAAAGGTTCCTTTCACACTTATTACTGTGATTAGATCTCACTGAAATGGAGAGATTTCTCAAATGGTTTACAGGAACTGCCTCAGTGACTAAGTGGCCTGGCTCTTACAGTCTGATTCCTTCTGTGTTCCTGATTTCAGAAAGACTGAATTAAAATGAAACTGTTTGGAGAGCCTCATGCTTTTATGATTAAATAATCCATTTCTCTCATAATGAGATATTTATAGCCAATTTCCCTTGCTTTTTTGTTCTTTGCAATTTGAAAGCTGTCCAGAGTAAGAAGTTGCCCTTCCTTCCTCTACTTCAGAAGGCATGATTTCCAGGAAAGTGGTGGGATCTCTTGTCTGTCTGTTTGTTGTTACTGCATTTATCTGGTAAGCATTTGCTGGCAAGCTTGGTCATATTTAAAAGATCCTGTCTATATCTATACTGTGGTAAAAAGCATAGTAGCAGAAAAATATAGGTGGTGCATTTTATGGAAAGTCCCTGTTAGAGCTTTAAGAGAGAACAGTAATTGGTATAACAGATAAAGTAGCACTAGTAGAGGGAGGAGCCTCTGAAGGGAGAGAGAAAAAAAGACCAGCTGTGTCTAAATTAGGCTCCTAACACTGTATCTGACTCACAAAAAAAAGTTCAAGTACAGAATATTCCAGTTACATTTCAGTTCAGGCCTTCAAAGAGATGATTATCTGTGTCTTCAAACAGTCCAAACTCACTCCAATATAACTAGGAATAGCTTTGTAGCTATCAAACATTGTAGCTTTCAAACATTGAGAATGTTTGTAGCTTTGAGTATACTGACTACTGAGTATGCCTTACAGATTCTCTTGAGCAAACTCAAACATTGTTTGAAAGGAATCTGAGATCAGGCATTTCTATTAACTATTCGATTATTAATTATTAAATTATTATTAATTATACTGTACTTCTGATGTTGCCATTTGCTCTTGTTTCACATTGTGGGTAGCTGCATTTCACCAGTAATTAAGTGCTGTATATAAAAATGTATATAGATTGTGATCAAAACTGAAGGGAGAAAAAAAAATTAAAGGATGCACACACAGTATTTAAAGTCCCAGGAAGTGTCAGTATAACACATCAGTGTATATTACGTATTTATCCATTTGGGGCATTGCCTTATGTGTCTCCATTTGTGTATGCTTTTCAAAAATGCGTAGGCCTATATTTTGCACACCACTTGGTGTAAATAATAATACTTAGACCTGATGTTACAAGCTGGATGCTTCTGGACTCGTTTTGTTCTGAGATTCCCATTTATGCCTTATCAGCAATATACTACGTTGAAAAATGAATACCCTGGATCGTACACTAATTAGTAAAGTAGACATGCAGTTAGCTAGAGTTACTTCTCAAAATCTGTGCTAGATTGTCAGAAGATCTTGGAAAAACCTAAGAAGGTATCTTTTAACATTACCTGTCTTAAAAGGTTTCTTTGCTATCACAGGATTACAGTTGGAAATAGAAAAGTGCACTACCTCCCATATTACCTTCCTTGCCCCAAAATCTTGTAAGTATCCCTTTTTGTATGTAATGAATAACACAGATGATTGTTACAGGAGCTGTACTTCACTGACAGTATAAGTAGTTACTAACAAGTAGTCACTTGTTCTTTATTTTATGAATGTATAATTAGTTACTCTCTTAAAACAAAATAGTAATAAGGCAACCTTTTCTGCATTAGTCTGCTTGCCCTTCAGGACAGCTCTGTATTTGTACAGCATGAGTGAGGCCTTGTTTGTTGTGGGTCACAGAGAGACCATGACTAACAGGTTAACATTGGCTTTATTATCAGGGTGTAATCACACACACGCGCATGTACACGCAGGATCTCACTGTGCTTTGAGTTGTTGATTAAGTATCCCAGCTCACTACATGGAGAAATGTAAGTCAGAGAGATGAAATGAACAATCACATAAGGAGTTCTGGCAGAGTTAGGAATACCCCCCCAGTCTCCTAATTGTGTTCCTCTTCTTCACTCTATGATCTGTGCTTTCCACTCACTTTATGAATGTATTTTTGTTATGGCAGCGCTTGAGTTGTGAACCAGAAGCCTGCTCTGAGCAAATGAAAGGGTAGCTGCTTCTCCAGAAACCTTACAGTTTAAGGGGTCAGCTTCATTGTGTGATGCAAACTAATGTACAGTTAACTAACTTATCATGGGTCCCAAAAGCTGTCTCAAAGCTGCATAAAAGAGAATTTACACTGTGGAGGAGCAGGGTACATGGCCTAAGTGAATTCACTGCCATATTGGACCATAGCTGTAACAAGACAAGCCATGGCTTTTCCAATGTGTTGTTGTTACTGATCTTGTAAAAACAAAACAAAACAATGCAAATAGAAAAGATGATCTCTTAGAGAGGCATTTCTGATTACTTCAAGCCTTTAAAAAACATCATGTCTAGTAAGATGCTTATTTCTCTGTGCTATTTAAAGTGTGATATATTTCAGGTAGGTCAGCCCCCCAGGTGAACAGGAACAGTTATGCAGGGAATGGAGCACATACAAGACCAGTACTGGCAGTCCCCAACAAGCATATCCTTCCCTGGATTTTGACCCCTAAACTCTGATTTACCCACAGACTTGGAGAACTGCCAGCATCTCTCTGTCCTTGTTCTTTTGTGTGCTCTGTTTCAAAACTGTTACTTGTCTGACAGCCCTGAATGTGTGTACAGGCAACATCTAACTCTCTGTAGCAGGCAGAGCAGCGTGCACAGCAACTGGAGTGAGGACTGGGACAGCTGTCAGTACAGCAGCAGGTCCTGAAGCTGAACCTGGTTCATATTTTAAGAAAAGCATTACAATCCCTTTCTATTCTCTCCCTATCATGCAGCTCCGTGAAACTCCAATACACAGAAGAGAAGCTAATCCAGCTTTTCCCTCAGTAAGTACTGGCTTTTTATTTCCTGACCTTTAAATTGCTGTTCCTCTCTTCCGGGCATATTCATGTATTATTCAGTGGATATTTCTTCCTTTTTTTACAGATTATTTTATCAGCAGCCAAGAGTGCTGGCTCCAAAGTAAGTTTTTTTCTTTGAACTTTGTCGTTTGTTTCTGCTGACTTTGGTTTGGGTGCTCTGTGGCCCTCACAGTCTCAGAGTCCTGGTACACACTGAACAGTACCTTGTTCCATGAGAAAGCTAACCATACGGGTATGTCTACAGCTGTCTATGCTGCTATAAGATTGAGTTTAGCCACTGTATTCTTGTTAACATACCTGCTGTAAATTCCCAATTAATACATTAGCACGCACACACACACAGTCCATCTACATGGTTGCTGCCAGGAGCTCTTTTTTTGAGGTGGGAAATATGTAATAGCTGGAAGACAGTGAGAAGTACTTTCTGAAACTGTGTTGTAGCTGTAACCAGCTGTGGGAGAGCTTTAAATCTATTTCAGGGCAAAATCAAGCAGGTGCCTTGTATGACCTTCAGCAATGGTTTCAGCTAACCTGCTGGATCTTACACTGGAACAGATTGCAGGCACTCACACAGACAAGTCTCTATGAGAAGCCGTCGAACCAGTGAGTTTAAACAGACATGGAAGGTTTCAGGCAGCAGCAGCTAAGAAGTGACTTAGGCAAATGCTCCTTGTCAGCTCATGTTTGTTAGCAGTCTCCTTCGGTCCAGCTCCAATGACCTGACTCTTATCTCTAGCAGTTCACCTTCAACAGCCACCATTCTTTTGCACATTAATATACACACCCCATTGGTACATACATATATTCCTTCCCCCCCACTATTTCAACAGGCCTTGCTAGGCCTGACTATTTCTCCCTTCCATATTTGAATAAATTAATGTGCGAAATCAGCTAGTACGTACTGGACTAAATGAGGAGAGAATCTTGTAGCTTTTAGTGCTCTATGTCTTCCAAAGGGAGTTCACTAGCACACACTGAGGAGATGCATACCATGGAAATGAGTCATGGGGAAACCCAGTGCAGACCTCTAAAATGAAATGAAAAAAAAGCCCTTCTTAAAGAAGCAAACTTGCAGATTTCCTTCTCTCTCTCTCTCCTCATCTAAAAAAGGATAATTAACCCAGGAGAACAGCTCAGTTAGTACATTTTCTACAAACCAAATTCTTCTTCCTATATAATTTCATCTTTTAATCATACGCATTACTATAGGAGGGAGTGAAATTGTTATTCTCTTATCCACTCAGACTGAAAGTATTAGATCTGGGTTGAAAGTGTACTGCTGCCTCAGCCATCAAACTGCTCCCCACAGATCCCTTGGTTTGGTTCTTGTGCTACTATTGCCTTGGGAGCGTGTCAGATGGGAGACTGCTTCAGCCTCCAAGTGTGGCCCTGTGCTGTGCATGACAAATTTCATTAGCAGAGTGCTATAGATCATGGGCTGGGGCGAATGTGAGTGGGCTAGGGTAAATTACACATTATAAATGACATCTTGTTTTAAAATCAAAAAGGTAAGAATGAAACCCTGAAAACAAAGAAAGTTGAAATAGCATTGTGTAGCTGTAATAGGGCATAATCAGACTCCGCTGCATATATATTCAATATTTCCACTACCCACACAGGAGATTAAGGATTTTCTATAACTTTGTTACACATTTGAATGTTGGCTCACATACAGAATTTTAAATTCTATCTGAATGTGTTAAAGCTATATATAAATACTGGAAAAAACAAACTGTCATGCCGCAAGCTGTGTTTTAATAACACGGCAATGGGGTATATTTTCATAGTAATATTCATATTATTACTTGTGGTTTAGTTTGTATGTAGCAATCTGCATCAGACTGATAGCAAATATGCATAGCTTCTTATTCTGTAAGTTCAGTGGTCATTAAACTCTCCTTAGCAGAAAAGTCCTATGAGCTTAAATGAGATTTTAGTAGATCCTGGGGTTTTTGCCAGTTTGTTAAACAGTGCTTGATTTCATCCCAGGAACTGAAATGTCCATGCTCAGTAATCTTAAATAAGAGGGCAGGGAAAAAAATCTGAAGATAATAATATCCATAATGAGTTAATGCTGATACACACACTCTTCTTCTAACTGTCTTTTGAATGTTTCTTTCCCATTTACTGGCCTTTAAACCAAAGGAACAGTTACATTTCATTAACATTCCCTTTCTTTTCCTTCAGGCGTCAGGATGTGCTGACAGTCACACCATGGCTGGCCCCCATCATCTGGGAAGGAACCTTCAATTCTGAGATCCTAGACAGTGCCTACAGGCCACTGAACCTCACCATAGGGGTAACAGCCTTTGCCATTGGAAAGTAAGTGAACCACTCAGTGGGCACAGTTCTTGGGTTGATGTACTTCCTCTGTCAAAAGATCGTTTTGGCTTTTCTTGTCCTCAGCAGAGCTGAAATCTGTCCCAATCTGTAGTAAACTTTCATGCCCAGGTATTGTGTCTGTAATCGTACAAGCCTACAAGATAATGGACTCAGCACCCAAGGTACCTGGAAGCCTGGTCAGTATTTTTTAAGAATTAGCATGTGCCTTGGGTATTAGAGCTGTAGATAGGTGGTTGGTTGGTCAAAGTAGGGATAATCCACTTGTTCCTTGTCCTCCACTGTACTTTACCTATTGCATGTATACTGTATGGATCCTTGCAGCAATAGCTAGTCAACACTCTTCATCCCTTGTCTTCTTCCATTCATTAAAGTATCCTTCATAATCCACTATGCATCCCCTTGTCTCTGCTGTGCTATTCACGTGTTGTGTCTGCACAGATACACAAGGTTTGTGGGCGGCTTCTTGGAGTCGGCAGAGAAACATTTCATGAAAGGCTATCGGGTGAACTATTACATCTTCACGGACAACCCTGAGACAATTCCTGATGTCCAGCTGCAACCTGGACGAAGGTTTGTCATTGTCCCTATCAAGAAATACTCCAGCTGGCAAGAGATCTCCATGCGCAGGATGGAGGCCATAAACAAGCACATAGCAGAGACAAGTCATCAGGAGGTGGACTACCTCTTCTGCCTGGACATTGACATGGTGTTCTACAATGCCTGGGGGCCCGAGACCCTGGGTGATACAGTAGCAGCCATACACCCCGGCTATTTCAATGTCCCTCGAAGCCAGTTCCCTTATGAGAGGAGGAGCTCTTCAGCAGCCTACATCCCTGATGGAGAGGGGGACTTCTACTATGGAGGAGCCGTGTTTGGAGGGCTGGTCAAGAAAGTCTATGAGTTCACCAAGACTTGCCACATGACCATCCTGGCGGACAAAGCCAATGGGATCATGGCAGCCTGGCAGGAAGAAAGTCATCTCAACAGGCACTTCCTCTCCCACAAACCCTCCAAAGTGCTTTCTCCAGAGTATTTATGGGATGACAGGAAGCCAAAGCCCCCTGAAATTCACGTAATACGTTTTTCCACAGTGGATAAGAACTACAACGAGATAAGAGGTTGACCATCTGATCCCTGCAGAGGTGTCCTCCACGCAATCAAATCCACTGAATATTAGCTCCCACAGAACATGCCCCACCATGAATTTTTGTTCCCAGTGTGAACAAACTGAGAAAGGAACATGTGGATAATTTCTCTGGAGAATGGGACTCTTAATGCATTTCGGAAGCAACAGCCAAGGTGGAGGTGAGAATGAAAAGGTTTCTAGGTTCCTAATCTTTGTAAATACAAGCATCCTGGTTGAGGCTGCAGCACACAAAAAGGCATCCAAAAGGCCAGTTACCAAATATAAGGCTGTCCTTATAGCAAGGCTGCAGATGCCTTTACGTGAGTGTTTCCTGAGGCCCAGCAGAAGCTTAGCAAGATCAAAATGGTATTTGACATTCCTGTGGAGAAGAAGACCTAGAGTTTTAGTAAAGACCTTTTCACTTAAAAATCCAGCTTTGCAGGGCAATTAATTTTCATGCATTGTGATTTAAACTCACACCCTTTTTCAGGATCAGGAGGAAACTTGCTCTCAGAGCAAGTTATCCCTGATTAATGTGCAACAGGATTTCTTGGACCTTCTCAGCGGAGAGCTGGTGCCAGCCATTGCCAGTAAGAACCCTGGTCTGACAGGACAAATAGTGTGAATTCATATAGCAGTTATCTTCCACGTTCCAATCTGTGTTTTGGAGACCCAAGTTTAGACAGAACTGGCAAAGCTCAGACCCAGACTGAACTTGTTTGGGTTTATTTCAATCACAGATGTGCTCTGAACCTTTTCCCTGGTTCCCATGTCTCTGTAGATCATGTAATCTTTTCCAACACAGAAAATCTGGTATTGAGAGGTTCATGTTCCTATCCATTGCTTCAGTCCTTTCCAACTTTTCTAAGCTCTGTGAAATAAATTGGCTAGAAGCTGCTGGAACTGGCAGTAAGAGCTGATGTATTTCCAGCAAACAGGGTGATTTCATTTTATAATGAAATGCTCTAGTGAAACTGTGAGTTCAGTCTAGAGCTGGAAGTAGGCTGGGGTTAACATTTTCTTTGCACGAATGTGATGAGAAGCTGAACCAGGCGTTTTGCAGCCTTTAAAGCCTGACAGCTCACTCGGGTGAAGAAGTGGGGGGGGGGTCCAAACACAGGGGAACAGCCACAGCTTGCCAACAATGACAGCATAATTGTCAACTGAGGTCAAAGCATGGAAGTTCGTCAGCCACATCCCTTGCCGCAGCACATCTGCCATAAACATCTTCTCCGTTACCTCCCAAGGCATGCTACCAAAGGGCTGTGCAAATCCATGCCATGCTCATTTAATGTGAGCAGGGAGAGGGACCACAGGGAGCAGCAGAGAATGGCAGTGCTGTACGTCACGGAGAGGAGAAGCAGGGGTGAAAGGGCTAAGCTGACTGTTTCTAAGGGAACAGTTTAAAAAAAAAAAAAAAGAAAAGAAAAAAAGGCTCATTTAGCAGAGAGAGAGAAAATGGGGAAGAGGTGCCTGACTGTTCTTGCTTCTCTTCACATGAAAAATTGCTGTATGGCAGCGTATCAAGTATTTGAAGCTTTAGGGCCCCACCACTGATTGCAAATGACTTAACGAGCCCTTTCAGTCCTGTGTGAGCCGCTGAAAATGGCACTTGCCAGTGTCATTGTAGGCATTTCATCTTCCAGAAGACTAATTAGAAAATCTTTCATGGTACCCATAATATAGATAAGGTACACAAAACACCTCCAGCCCAAAACCCTTAGTGGCAGTTGGGTCTCTTGATTCATGCTTTATCCAGCAAAGGGTTTACCCTATTGTATTTTCTCCAGACTGTTCTTAGTGCTGTGGTGCTGGAGGAAGACACCCCTCTACATAACTAAATCAAAACTGAATCTCCTGTGAAGATGTCTATGTTTGGTAACCACGCACCTCATCTAAGCCAAAAGGGTGAAGAAAGATCCTTATCCAAATATTTCCAAAAAGATATATTCCCAACAGGATTCCAGGATTAATACTGTATATTTCTTATTTGTAAAACAGTTGTGTCCAAAGGCCATGACTGCAACTAAGGTCTCATTATGCCAGTTGCATATGGATTTTTTTATGAGCCAAAAGGAACTGTCTAGTCTGATCTGCACAGGACAAGCCAGGTAATTTTATCTCCTGATGTCAGTATCAAGCTCACAATACATAGCTGGTCTGTGCTAGATCTCTCAGAAAAGCATTCAGATCCAATAAAAACATGAAGTGGCAGAGCAGCCACAAATCTATAGATCAGCTGTGCCAATGGCTAATTCCCCTTATGCCTTAATTCTGCTCTAAATTGGTCTGTGTTTGCAGCCTGTATTTGCAGCCATTGGGCTTCATTCTGCCATACTAAATTACTAGAATTCCTGTGCAGATATTCATAGCCTATACTAAATCCACCATGAGAGGAAGTTCTCCAGCACAAATGATGCGTGATAGAAGGTGTCCTATGTTTCTGGGGTACCTGTTCTGAAAAACCTTTGTGAAAGGCTTGGTCTCCGGCTCTGCTTCCTAGCCACCTTTTGGCCGAATCCAGGACCCTGTGATTGACGTGGTAATGGCCTGATTTGTGCAGTGCCAAACATGTTTATCTTCCTGGCAGGCCTGCAGCTTCTCCCCAGGGGAATGTCTTGTGTCACATGTTATGTGACACAGTTCAGCTCGACAGGGCTGTGATTTGAAGCAGTACCTAGAAACTCCCTATGTCTCCAGTGAGCAGAAGAATGTGACTGCAGAAACACACTCCCCAGTGCAGTGTGGGAGATGGTCCCTGAATCAGCTCATGCCCTCCTCTAATTAATGAAAGCCTGGACTTCAGTTGTCATCTCCTGCTGATTAATCCCCTTCCCCCAACACCAGCAGCAAGCTTTCCTTCTCTCATTTAGATTGTGCAGCCTGAGGCTTGTGGGCAGCGTGGGAGTTTCACAAGGACCTACTTTCTGATCAGAATTCCCCACCAATATCCATTGCTCAGTGGGGAAACTGAGGCATATGGTAGCAAGGCAGCAGAGTGGCACTCTTGCATGTGAGGTCTTGCTCTGTTCACCACAGGGGACAATGCAGTCTCACATGTCTATGTGCCAAGGGAATTTGGACTTGGAAACGTGCATGCAGTACTACATGAAAAGTGAATCACCACGTGTAAATAAATCATCAGCCGATTTACACTGCCTGAGAATCTGATCATGCTTTCAAGGTATTTCTGACTCAAGCCCTGCTTGTCCTTAACCAAGCCTCAGATCAGTAGCTTATTGCCTTCCCAAGGGCCCCTTGTTCCATCCATCCCTTTCTGCTCAGCTGGAACAGACTCATCATTCATTGTCCGTCTAATTTAAGAATCCATCTGACAGGCTTTTTCTTTCCTTGTTCCGCCTGGTGACTTGCATGGTGCATTCATCCCCAAAGGGAAAATTTCTCTGGGGAGCAAGAAACAGAACCTTCCAGCACTGAATATGATCCTAGGTGGGGCCAGACTGTGATCCTCTCGTTCTCCCCACTGACAGGACAAGAATCATTTCCACTAAGCCAGCCTAGCACCCTTTTTCACTCCTATTCAGATTTCCTGGTAACCCTCCCACAGGTGGTGTTGCCTGACATTATTGACCAGAAATGTCATTTTGAACCGCTTTGATACGCAGCTATAGTTACGAAAGGACTGGCCTAGTCAAACCTTCTCTGTGTGAGATCTGTGGCTGGGGGGCATGGAAATGAGATGGTCTTTGAGCAGACATGAATGAGGAAGGATAAAAACATCGGTTATACATTCTCTGTACAAAACAGGCTTGGGGAATACCCATGTGCATTGGGCTGGCTTAATGCAGCTAAAGCAGCATGGTGGTGGAAACGAGCTGGAAGGCTGTGAGCTCCCTGCCAGAGCGGCTGGTTTTACTCTCCTGCCCTCTGTCTTACCTGTTTTGCCTGGGGCTTTACAAGGAAGAGACTGTCTCTTGTTCTGTGTCCGCATGGGGCCTAGTCTTGGTTGCTCACGAGTGAATGTGAGATACACAGAATGAGTTTCTTTCTCAGGGGGGATTTGCTCTAATCTGAAAGGGCAGCAATAAGTAGCAGGGTTACTATTTTCTCACTTGAATCCCCCCTGCTCTGCTTCACCTCACTGCCCCAGCAAGTCTCCGTGGGATCCCCAGGGGTGAAACATGCAGAGGGCAACAGCTGCTCTCCAGGTGGAGTGACAATGACAGTGATGGGCCCTTGCAGGGACAGCAGGAACTGAAGAAGAAATTTACAGGAGTGGGTTGCACTTTACTCACGCTAAATCCCCAATCCTGCAGTTCTGATCCACACATAAGTCCACACAACCAAATAATTTAGGAAAGCATTGCTAGCAAAATGCATCGAAGGAGTGACTTTTAAATGTCTGCCTACCCACCCGACTCCCTCCTTTATCGAAGTGTAAGAGTAGTGCTGTACTGACTTGACTTTTCTTGGGCTATATTTAGATTAAACATAGATCCACCAAATGTCGTTGTTTTATGTAAAACTAGTATAAAGCCATATGAATAGAAAGGCTGCTTTAACCAGAAATCTCTGCTGCTTGTATGCCCACCTTATCCCCCCTGCCCCCCCCGATGAATCTTTAGCTAATATAAAGCAAGTCAGATGAGTACAAATTACTTTTTAAAAGTGCTTCATTCTGGGGTTTTTTTTGTAGTGAGTTTTGCCAGCATCCAATTACAGTTATAGACCTTTTGAAGTATGTATTTTTCTCACTGTTCAGCACTGACACTGTTACTATAATTAGAATGATGTTGCTCTGTAGCAGCATCTAGTGCCAGAGCGATTGGCCTGGCAGCACCTTTTCCTTTCCTGGCTATGCTCCCCACCCAGAGCTGCTGGTTCTGCTGGCCTGGAGCATCGGAGGAGCGGGACGGTCCGATGAGATGGGCTGTGCCTTGTCACCAGTTCCCACTGGAGATGGGCTATGCCTTGTTACCAATTCCCACTGCAACCCTGGTAAAGTTGGTCCTTCCCGCTCGGTGGCTCCTGGGGCAGGGAGGCTGTTGGACGCGGTGGCACTCGTGTGGGTGCCAGAGGTGTG